GATCTATTTTGTAAAAAGATCCATAAAAATTTAATTTTTTAAATTAAATTTTATAATTTAATTATAAATTTTATAATTATTATTATAAATTATAATTCCATATAATTTAAAATTATAATGGAAATCAAGAGGGATAGCAGAATCTACTTCCTAGAACTTATTAAGTCAAATCAATCACCAGTTGGTAAAATGCAGTGGGGGAGATTCTTCTTTTTTTTTTTTTTTTTTTGCGGTACGCCGGCCTCTCACTGTTGTGGCCTCTCCCGTTGCGGCTCCGGACGCGCAGGCTCAGCGGCCATGGCTCACGGGCCTAGCCGCTCCGCGGCATGTGGGATCTTCCCGGACCGGGACGCGAACCCGTGTCCCCTGCATCGGCAGGCGGACTCCCAACCACTGCGCCACCAGGGAAGCCCAAGATTCTTCTTTTGCGCAGGGATCTTTTAAAGACAGAACCCACCCTTGTCGACCAGCTGCCTTGGACCCTGATGCTGTTCCCTTTGACTGTGCTACCGCCTCCCGTTTTCCCAGCCTTGCAAGCCCTCACCTCTAGTGTAATTATGGATTCTGATCTCTCCCTCTGACCCCAGCCCAGTTTTAAAGCCCAGTCTAATGTTATCTAAAGTACACTTCTTGGATCTGTCCCTTCCTTTCCATGGCCTCTGCCCCCGCTCTGGTTCCGGCTTTTTTGCTGTATACCTGGATCAGTGCAGTCACCTCCCTGCCAACAGCCCTTTCTTACCCATACAATTGGCCCTGCCGACTGCTGCTAAAGTGACCTTAGAGCACTTCTTTGATGCCGCCGTGCTCATGCCTGTGAACAAAGTCCAAACTGGCCACCTTGCCCACCTCCAGACTTTGAGTGAGAAGCAGCCACCATGTCACGTGGTTCACCCCATCCACCCCCAACATGGTGGTCGTGCAGATGGGCAGGGAAGAGACCAGGGCATGCGGCATCTTTTTAGTTGTGGCATGCGGGATCTTTAGTTGCTGCATGCATGCAGGATCTAGTTCCCTGACCAGGGATCGAACCTGGGTCCTCACAAATCACTGGGAGATGTTCTGCTAAGGGATCTCATCTCTGATAAACAGAAGGCTAGAAAATGGCTCTCCCATTCATTCCCCAGAGACCTTGAGGGGAACCTGTTGCCACTGTGCCAGTACCAGTGTTAGAGCTCCAGCCATAATCATCTCAACTGTGGAAACCCAGAGCCCTTATTATTATATCATCAACACGATGAAGGGGAGGGTCCCACTCACAAAGGCAACACCAAGGATGAGGAGACCAAGAGTGGCTGCAGCAAGATTAGAAAAGATAAGAAAAAAAGAGACCAAAAAATCAAACAAAAATTAAAAAAAAAAAAGAGTGGCCTCAGCAAAATGCAGGACTACATCCTTCCTTCCACCCCAAGAGATTTAGAAACAAGAATAAATGGGAAAACATACCTTGCTCTTGGGTGGGGACACTAAATATTGTGAAGATAGCAACTTTTATCGTTTTGGCCTGTCATGCAGTTCTAGCCAAAATCCCAATGGAATTTTGAGAATTTGAGAAAAAAGTGTTCTAAAGAGCATCTGGTAGAGAAAATGTGCAAGAAGATCAAACCATTTTGAAAAAAGAAGATGAGAGTGTCTAAGCCCACCTAGAGAATAAGACTGGAGATTCAACACTTAAATCGGGAGGCTCTAGCACCAAAATTGACAGGTGAATGGAGCAGAATAGATGGTTCACTCACCTGGGGAAAGAGGGAAGACTGTCCTATGAATAGGGCTGGGCCCATTGGTTTAGCTGTTGTATTTGGGAGAAAATTTTTTAGATTCCCACCTCATATCATACACTTAAATAAATTCTAGATGAATTAATAAATTTAATACAAAGAATTAGATCACTAAAAACACGGTAGAAAATATTTATGATCTTTACGTACTATACAGCAATGGAATAAATCACAAAGAAAAATAGACTTGACTGTATAAAAAGTAAAACCCGTCAGTAGAAGCCGTCAGAAACCAAAATAGGGAGTTCCCTGGTGACCTAGTGGTTACGATTCGGGCTTTCACTGCCATGGCCCAGGTTCAATCCCTGGCTGGGGAACTGAGATCCCACAAGCTGTGCGGTGTGGCCAAAAGAAAAAAAAAAGGAAGAAACCAAAGTAAAAGGAGAAGCTATTAGCCACAAATATGATAAAGGGTTCATGTCACTCATAGATTAAGAACTCATTCAGATCATTACAGTGATCACTGAGGCATGACAGAGAAGCAAAGGATGTAAATGGGCATCTTATAAAAGAAGCCCGTGCATCAGATTTTTACTTTTACACTTCCATCCACCACGTTCCAAATGGGAAAACTTAGTCCTTGAAAGGAATTGATCAAATCTACAAAACAAAACCATGGGGCTCATTACACTTCTTAGTGTTCACTAAAATCTTAGCTGCAGGTTGAACAGGACGACCTGATTTGTCTGATCTGGCTCGCCTGGGCCGGGTGTAGTGACTCCAGCCAGTTTGGGAGGCTTGCGCTTCTGGGAGGATTCCACTGCTCCCGGGTGGGGCTCCTGGTGAGTCAGCAGGTGAGGTGACTCATGGACCAATCCCGGGCACGGGCACGAGCAGCTGGGCAGTGACCAGGGACGTCCTGAGAGAGGCTTCACCAGGAAGCAGCGAGGGAGGCATTACTTCGTAGAGTTGGGTGGGGAGCAGTAGTTGACTCCTTTGATAATGAAACTTGTTCCTCTTAGCACAGGGGTTCTTGTTTGGGGGCTTTCTAAGGGAAACAGACCATCAGTGTATCTCAGGGTAGAGAATATCACCACAGAGAATATCACCACCAAATCCTAAGTCTTGAAGGATGAATGGGGCTTTGATCTTCCCAGGAAAGTCCTGCTCATCCTTGGGGAGATATCAAAGGTTTGGAGATGCGGGAAGACATCAAAGGTTTGGAGATGATCAGCCTCAGATGCCTCTCCCAAGAGCTCTCTGAGAGACAAGGGCCTCGGTCAGAATGAAAAGTAGCTGCCTAGGAGGGCCCAGACCACCCACCCTCTGCCTAACCCAGAGGAGGTCTCACTGACCTCATTCTTAGAACCATCCTAAGTCCTCTCAGCTTCTTATCCTACATCGTGGGTGGAGAAGAGAGCTCAGGCACCCACACCAGCGTGTCCTGCCTAGAAAGGAGAGAAATGGAACTGGACCTGAGTATGCCAGTGGCCAGCTGGTATAAACACAGTGCCAGTAGGGCTTCCCTGCTGGCGCAGTGGTTGAGAGACCGCCTGCCGATGCAGGGGACACGGGTTCGTGCCCCGGTCTGGGAAGATCCCACATGCCGCGGAGTGGCTGGGCCCGTGAGCCATGGCCCCTGAGCCTGCACGTCCGGAGCCTGTGCTCCGCAACGGGAGGGGCCACAACAGTGAGAGGCCCGCGTACCATAAAACAAAAACAAAAACAAAAACAAAAACACAGTGCCAGAGGCTGGCTGTCTCCCCACACCTTTGTCAGTCTGGGAAGTATTAGGTGGAGTGTCTGCTCCCAGGTGGACCCTCCGACCCTGTAGCCCACCATTTATTTATTTATTTATTTTAAAGGTTTTTTTTTTTAAACTTTTAAAAAAGTAAAGGGAGGAAGTAGAAGCAGCTAGAACAGGGGCGTTTCAAAGATAAGAAAAAATATAAAGTAGAAAATAAATAATATGAGATAACTAGATCATTTAAAAGGAAGATATCAAAGTAAAATACAAGAGACTCAAATTACAGAGATAAAAATGTAAAACGTGGAATAATCCAAAGTAACGTGAATGAACCACAGCAAAATGACATACTCAAAAGTTCAGAAATTCTAAGTTACGAGTTATTTTTAAGATAAAGAATTAAATATTCTCAGTAAGGAAGAGGGTACAGCAGGATTAAATGATCGTTTCTAGCGGGCTTTGTTGAGCTGACGCCACCTCTCAGCTAGGGCTGTTGGGGGAGGGGAGTGCACGCTGCTCTTCAGCCCCAAATTCATGCCCCCGCACTGTGCCCTGTTAAGGACTTAGCCTGGCCCTCAGAATGCACACCCAAGGGTCCTGGTGGGAACCAGTGAGGTGAGTGAAAGCCCGTCCCTGACCCCGGGGGGCCACCTGACTCAGAGCTGGGAAGTCGGGACACCCAGGTCAAGTTGGTTCCATGCCACAGCAGCGTGTGACCGAACGATCACGATGCTTCTCTGTGCCTCCTTTTCCTCACCAGCAGTGCCCAGCTGATGCCTTCCCTCTCAGTAAAAAAAAAACAACCCATCAGGGACTTCCCTGGTGGCGCAGAGGTTAAGAGTCCGCCTGCCAATGCAGGGGACATGGGTTTGAGCCCTGGTCTGGGAAGATCCCACATGCCGCGCAGCAACGAAGCCCGTGCGCCACAACTACTGAGCCTGCGCTCCAGAGCCTGCGCTCTAGAGCCCGCGAGCCACAACTGCTGAGCCCACGTGCCACAACTACTGAAGCCTGCGCGCCTAGAGCCCGTGCTCCGTAACGGGAGAGGCTACCGCAACGAGAAGCCCGGGCACTGCAGCAAAGAGTAGCCCCCGCTTGCCGCAACTAGAGAAAGCACGCACGCAGCAACGAAGACCCAATGCAGCCAAAAATAAAAATAAATAAATATATAAAATAAAAAAAAATGTTTAAACCCCATCAAACTACCCGTCAGCAGCATTTACTTTTTAATGAAGTGGAAAGAGCAGTGAGCATAGTAACAAGTCAGGCCTCCTGAACCTGCCCACCTGATGGTTTTGGACATGAACTGATGTGATGCTGGTGAATTAAAAGTGCACATACAAGTAAATAACACTTTGGCGATACGCCCCGCGGATGAGGTTGGGCATCTGGTTGTTGGGGAGGAGAGAGGGGAGGTGGAAATCTGCCTGCTGTGAACTGGGGAGGTGGCACCTCTCTCTCCCTGCCCCCTACCCCACCCCCAAGCACTTAGCCTCAGCACAGCATCCCAGCCCTCACCTCCCATCTTCATTCCCCAGGTGGGCTTTGAACCAGGATGGCTGAACCCCGCCAGGAGTTCAACGTGATGGAAGATCATGCTCAGGGGGACTACACCCTACTGCAAGACCGCGAGGGTGACATGGAGCACGGCCTGAAAGGTTAGTGCGCGGCCCTGCGTGACGGGCCCAGGCGCTGTGGGGATCGCGGCCGACCCGATGGCTCTGGAAAGGGCTGGCAGGAAAAGTTCGCATCCTGAGTTTTAAAGGAGTTTTAAATACTTTATTGTGTTAGATTGTCAATCGGCTTGAAATCTCATTAATTTGAGCGAGCCAACAGAACTCAAAATGTGAGGCTATTTGAAAATCTGCCTTTTGCAAAGGAGAGTTTGCCACATACGTGGATATAGTATGATAAAGATTGCCGGAGGCTTGTTGGTCTAATTAATACAAGGGTGCTCTGTTAAGTCTTTAACCATATACCCATCAACCTATAAATCAGCAGGAGTTATTGGCATGCAAAATACATGACTTTATACATTATGTTTTTCTCTTCCTTAATAGGCCTGTCTGGCCCCTCTTTGGCCAGAGTTGGTTAGCTCTGGGTTTCTTACTGTCCCTGTTATACCTTAATAAACCACGTCAACCTCTAAATGTTCTATAGTACAGTCTTTTGGCCCAGTTGGCTTGGCCTCCTCTCTCCCCTTCACTGCACTGTCTGACCACCGAGATCGGGGAGCCCCGTGGAGCACACAGAGCCCTCTCTCTGGCTCCGAACGCTAGTCCCTGCATCGCTGATGGGAGCACCAGAGGACCTGTAGGGCACTGGGTTGCGCTATAAGGAACCCTCTCCCCACAGTGTCACTGGTGGCCAGTGCCCCCTGGAGCAGCCCACCGTGCAGCCCCGGGATAAGAAAGACTAGGTCCCTGTCTTCTCGACCCATTTCTAAGGAGATGAAATGGCAGTCTACTTTTCTCTTTTAATGCTAAAAATAACAAGCCTGGGGTGTGCGGTGTCGATGGCAGTGGTAGAGATCCAAGGTGGGAAGGGAACTCTTCTGGGTACGTCTATCTGGGAAGGTTCCCTGGAAGAGGCGGGGTTACCAGAAGGAGGCCTGGGTTGGGGGAGCACATGGAGAAAACACCCCTACCTTGGGGACGCTTCAGGACTCGCTGGGGGGCCTTGTTTCAAAGGCTGATTTCTCTGTACCTGTTTAAGGAGAGGACACATTAGGAGGCAGAGCTTGGGAATCAGACAAGCGGGCTCCAAGGTGGGGGAGGTGAGGGAAGAAATGGGCTGTCCCCGGAGCTCAGAGGCCACCCTCTGGCCTTCTTGGGAGCACACCCAGCCCGAAGCTCTGGGTGAGGGGAAATGCCTGCTCCCATTCGGCTCAACCCTCCCCTCCTGGTGTCAGGCACCAATGGTGGCAAGAAACGTGCATTCTGACATCTCCCAGGCCACAGCCTGGCTCCAGCCAGAGCTGCTAATTTTCAACTCCCCAAGGGGTTGGAACGGCAGCTGGGCCCTAAGAGCTCCCTCATCTGAGGACCTGAGCCCACCATCCCTCCCCATGAGTGTTCTGCCTCAGTATCAGTATCACTGCTTTCACTTTCAAGTGTCCCTATTTGGGTGACAAAGTATGTGGCTACCCTACTTATAATGGGACTTCCTTAAAATGATGATTCAGGTGACCTCCCTGGTGGTCCAGTGGTTGAGACTTTGCCTTCCAATGCAGGGGGTGTGGGTTTGATCCCTGCCTGGGGAGCTAAGATCCCACATGCCATGTGGCCAAAACACCTAAACATAAAATCAACAGAAGCAATATTGTAACACATTCAATAAAGACTGTGAAAATGGTCCACATCAAAAAAAATCTTAAAAAAAAAAGATAATTCAGGCATTTTTGTAGGACTCTACAAAAGTTCGCAAAGGGCTTTGGCCACCGACGTCTCAGGTAGCGCTCACAATAACCAGTGAAGGCGGAGGTTGCCTTCCCCAGTTTACAGGTGACAAAGTTTCGTGTCTGAGATTATGGGGCTAGTATAGCCTTCAGCTCCATGTCAGCTGTTTTTGCCTCTGGTCACCCTTAGCCAAGTCTCCTTGAAGCTTCAGTTATTAAACTCTTGTGGGTGGAATCCAACTTAGAATCCCAACATACTGAACTCTGCCCCAGATGAATTGTGCCAATGAAAAACATGCTCTTGGGAATTCCCTGGCAGTCCAGTGCTTAGGACTCGGCGCTTTCATTGCTGTGGCCCAGGTTCAATCCCTGGTCGGGGAACTAAGATCCCACCAGCCAAAAGAAAAAAGAAAAATGATGCTCTGTTTAGGGTAGCCTGGTTTAAAAATTAAGTTAAAATACATATATTGTTTTGTCACAAATGTACCATAATAATGTAGGATGTTAACAATTTGGGAAATTGGGTGTGGGGTATCCTCTCTGGTCTATCTTTGCAGTTTTTCTGTAAATCTGCATTGATGCTAAAAGTTGGAATAGGATTAGATAGAGCCCAAGAGAGCTGCAAAGTGGGTAAAAGCTGGTTAACTGATAAAATAATGCACCCACATGAATTAAAAGGTGTTAATGAGTTAACTTGTTAGACCTTCCAGAAGACCCTCAGAAGAGGCTTCTTCCTCCTTCCTTCCCTCCCTCCAGGCTTCTTCCTCCTTCCTTCCCTCCCTCCAGGCTTCTTCCCCCTTCCTTCCCTCCCTCCAGGCTTCTTCCTCCTTCCTTCCCTCCCTCCAGGCTTCTTCCTCCCCTTCCCTCCCTCCAGGCTTCTTCCTCCCCTCCTTCCCTCCCTCCAGGCTTCTTCCTCCTTCCTTTCCTCCCAGAAATTCAACAAGGGTAAACCAGATGATGACAGTTGTAGGCTGGGGATGGACTGGGGGAGGGGTGTTTGGGGGACAAGTGTTTGAGGCACCGTCATGCCCATAGGCTTCTGTGCTCTGACAGTCGAGGCTGGTCCGTAATAAGACCCGGCAGACAGTCTGCATCATGCTCCCTCACCATGTGTCCAGAGCCTACTCGAGAGAGCTGGCAGGTTTTTGCAAGCTCCAGGACCGGAAGCTTCTTTAGAATCGGCCCTTCTTTGGCTGGATGGGTGCAGCCAGGGCTGAGTGTCCAGGGATGGCGTTCTAGCAGAGGGTGCGACGCGTCTGATCTCAAAGTGTACTAGAACACCACTTGCCTCTTTTCGTCTCGTGAGTCTGCTTCATGCAGAACCAGCTTCCTGTCCTCTATCTCCAAGGCTGCCCCCACCCCAGGTGGAGTGGCTTTTGCAGAGTCCATCAGAGCTCCCTTGCCTTTGGATTCTGAAAGGCCAGTTTTCGTATGAGTAGCGATGGCTGACATTTCAAGTGTAACTCAAGGCTTGTTGGGCGGTGCTTGGAGACACAGCCAAGTGTGCAGTTAGAATAGAAGTAGGTTCTGTGTCTGCCCTGAGCTAATTCCTTTGCAGAGGAAGGAGTTGGATCTCTGAGTGTTTTCCCAGGTCATTAATGGTCATTAATTCGTGGCAGTGATCTCCCATGAGTCTCTTCAGTAGGGAAACACAAAGCCCAAGTTTACTTGTGGCTTAGCTTTCTGGTATCTGCTGCCCGTTTGTCAATATAAGAGCCTTTGTCTCAATTGGAACCACAAGCTAATTAAAAGGCAATTTCTCCTCTCGTCCCAGAACAGGTAAACATTGCGTGCCTCTTTGCCTGCTGACCCTGGTTTGGGGGCCCAGCTGTGTTCGGGTGGGGGTGGGATTGGTCCCCTTTGTGGTTTTATCATGTGGCCACAGTCCATCCATCTGGGTTCCACGCTGGGTGACTTCAGCTCCAAAAGACACTGTCCCCGAGGTCCTCTGAGGTAGAAAGCAGGGGTGGAGAGAGGCAGCCATTCTGAGGGGCTCATTGTATATGTTCCAGAATCTCCCCTGCAGACCCCGGCCGATGATGGATCTGAGGAACCAGGCTCTGAAACCTCTGATGCTAAGAGCACTCCAACGGCGGAAGGTGGGGCCTCCCTCTTCTCATGGCTTTATTCAAGCAGCTCCTTCCATGCTCCAGCCTGCGCTTAGCCACACTTTGAGCTCATACGTGCCACCCTTCCTGGCTGCGTTTGCTGCTGCCTCTCCCTCTGGCTGAGAGATAGCTCGCTCAGTGCTTTGCAGGACGGAGCTCAGGCCCCGGATGTTGTGGGAGCCACGCTCTGTTTTGATGCCTTGCTCGCTAGGGTCAGGTATGGGCAGCTTCATCGTGTGTGAGTTTTGAGGCAGCCACACTTGAACAGGCTGGGATCTGTGGCAAAGCAGGGCCTGACGTCAGCTCCACCAAGCCCCTGCTCCTCGCCCATTGTCCTCCCAAAACTTCTTTCATGAGCCAGCAGGTCCTAAAGCAGCCGTTTGGCTGAGGAAAGGGCAGGTCAGTGCACATCTCCAAGCTCACACTTTGGGACTGGTCTTGGTTTAGTATCTTTCATTTCTTGAGCTCGGCCTGGGTGTCTGGACCTTGGCCATGGTGTTAGTTCCAGCCCATCTTCTAACCTGTCCTCTGTAGACATTTGGTGTCTAAGTTATTACAAAGCTGCTGACGTATTTCCTGAAGTGTTCCTCGGTCCTGATTTTGACCATCTTCTCTTGCTTCCCATCTATATCAGTCAAGACTGTGTTGATTGAAGGTAACGGAAAACCCAACTAACTGTGACATACATATGAAGAGGTTTATTTGTCTCACATAATAAAATGTCTGGACTTGGGCAGCAGCTTCTCAGTGTCAACTGTTTTATCTTCTGCCATCATTAATGGCCGGATTGTTGCCTTATAGTTACAGAATAGCTGCTGTACCTCCAGGCATCACATCTGCCTTCAAAGAAGAAAGAAAGTAGCAAAGCCAAAAGAACCCTGAAACCAAATGTGTTCCCTTTTTATTAGGAAGGCAACAGTTTTTCTGCAGGCCCCACCTAACCAACTTCTGTTTATGTATCATTGGCCAGAACTGGGTCTCACGGCCACCCCTGGCTGTAAGGGAGGCTGGGACATTGAGCATTTTGCCTTCCAGGCTCTTTAGCAGGAAAAATCAAGGGATAAGGGCATTGAGAATGGCTTTCGAGTAACCAGTCGGCAGTATCTGCCCCTCCTTCTCTCCATCCTCTCCAAGGTTCTATTCTCAGCACTTCCCTGGGCCCTGCCCATGACTTTGGTGAGAACCTGGCCCCAGCATCTCCCCAAGCGTCCACCTTTGGATGAATTCAGAAAGTGGCTGTCTAGTGCCTGCCAATTGATGGTGCATCCGTGGAGGATATAGTGGACGTGGCCCTTCCCCCACTTTGCCCGCCCCCCACCTCTGAAGTTCTCAGCCTAGTGAAGAGAATACCAGACCAAATGCTGTTTGCTCTCCTTCTTAGAGCCAGTGATGTTAAGACAGAGCCTGCGGACCTTGTTAGGGTAGTTTTGCAAGTTGCCTACCGCCCTGAGAAGGTCCTGAAACACTAATGGCAGATTTTCTGCCAGCCTTCCAAATCAGCTTTATTCTGGAAGAATCTACCAACCAAGTCTTGCTGCACTCTGTACCCTGTCTATGTGTGCCTCCCAAGAGCTTCAGCTCTGGCCCCGCGGGGAATGGGGGAGCCTGCTGGGGCTGGAGTCTGCCAGGCTGCTCCCGAGGCAACCATAATAAAGTGGACTCCTTCTGACGAACCTGAGTCAGGCGCTTGGGAAGCTTTCAAAGCTGACAACTCCTCATGTCTGCCCAGAATGGCCTGGAAGTATGCCAGGGCATTGCTCAGGGAAGAATGCCGATTTGGAAGTGTTCACCTCGATGAGAGACCAACAGCAGCTCCTGGTGGTGGATCTTTTCCTCTAGCCTCTGCTCTGAAGGTGGGTCCATCTGTGGGCCTGTTGTCAAGCACCTGACTCCAGACAGGGCCAGCCTGTTCGTTGCCACCCAGGGAAGTCTGTGGTTTTAAACCATGGGTCATGGGCTCCGGGAAACAGGGGGATTAGAACTGGAAGAGAACTTGGAGGTCACCTGGTGATGATACTCCCATCTTGCAGATGAGAAAACTGAGACCCTAAGAGGACAAAGGACTTGCCCAAAGCCAGCCTCCCGGCAGAGCCATAGACTCCAGCCCTGACTGCAGGGTTCCTGCACTGCCTTGGTCCCAATCCCATTCTCCTGTTCTGCCCTGCTCTAAGGATCAAACACCTGTGACCAGTCATCTGATTTTCAACACTTCCTCCTTAAAAACACTTGCGACCGTCCCCAGCCGTCCCTCTCACTGCAGTCTTTACAGGGGGGCTGTCCTGGCTTTCCTGGCAGAGGGCCTGGGTGTCTCGTGCATGGGCGCCACTCAGACAGAGTATTGATGTGCTCCCTGGAGAGATGTCAAGGCTGGAGCACGGCTCCGGGCCCTGCTCTGTGGGGCTGCTTTTCTGCATGTGCCTGAGTCCCCTCCCTCTCCCCATCCCTGCATCTCTGCATCCCCCAAAGAGCAAAGGTGAGGGGTGTGGCACAGCTCATCCCGGCCCCCTAAGGTGACTCTCCGTGGTTTCCAGATGTGACAGCACCCTTAGTGGATGAGGGAGCCCCCGGTGAGCAGGCGGCCGCTCAGCCCCCCACGGAGATCCCAGAAGGAACCACAGGTGAGGGTGACTCCCAGGTCGGGGTGCCCAGCTCCCCTGCTGGAGGACGGGTGCACGTGGGGTTATGCCCGTCTCCAAGTGCAGCAGGAATGTGGGTGGACAGCAGCCTCTGGGAATCTCTGGTTGTTCTGAGCCTGATGCCCTTTTGCTTCCATGGCTGGCTGCCTGCCTCCCAGAGAATAGAGGACCTCTGGATTCCTTCTAGCTCCTCCTCTCCTTGTCTTAGCTCCAGAGAGTTCTCTGAGGCAGGCTGGTGGCAGCCTTCACCCCCTGCGACTCTGCCAGCAACAGGGTTACTTCCTCGGAGGCAAACAGCTCCCTGGGGGGGGGGGGGGGCCGAGTGTGCGGCAGCATCAAGGTGGCCCACCCACACCTTTGGAGGATTGTAACTGGACAGTCCCCGAGGAACTCAGCGATGTCATCTAGCATCCATTTTTAGGACTATCCTTTCAAACGTATCAGCGTCGAACAGACATGATGAGACTGTCCTGTCAACACAGATGATGGGGTGTAGCCCAGACAGGGCACTGACCAGAAATAGCACTGGACTCGGGGCCACCAGAGTCACCTGTGAGCTGCCCAGGCCCTTAGGGAACAGCGAGCACAGCCCAGAGCCCTGGCTGTCTCTTCCTTCACGTCCCCTTCCCTGGGCTTAGGCACGATTCCAGCCGTTGGCTTGGTGACTTGGAGGGTGCTCACCACGAAATGCAGAAGAGCTCTGGACCGTATGTCACCAGCAATGGACAGTGGGGGAAATGTCCCCCGGCAGGAGTTTTCTTTCCTTCCTGAAGACAGGGCTCAGGGCAGCCGTTTAGGAAGCCTGCAGCCCTCTCCCGGGCCTGTGTGCTGGGAGCACTGGGCAGGGGCCGAGCAGTTCCACGGCCTCCTCCAAGTAGCTTCTGTTTGCAAGTTGGTCTTCTGAGATGGGTGGAGGGGGATGTTCTGGAAGCTGGCAGGCCCCGTCCTTGACAGTGAAGGTCGTTTGAAGGCCGTGGGACGAACGACTCATGGTAACTTGGCTTTTGTCTCCCGCTGCCCCTTTACAATTGTGTCAGTGGGCGAAGCTCTTCCCCTGCCTGGGATGAAAACTCTAGCCACCTCTTGACTTTTGACCACTTCCGAGTTATCAAAAGTGTTTTAAGTTTCCACAGTCACAAAACCCAGTCTGCAAATGATGATTAGAATGTCCAGCCCTGCATGAGAGCCAAAGCTGCAGCCCCCCCTCTCTGGGACTAGGGAGGGGGCGCGGACGGGGCAGGGGCAGGAACGCTCTTACTGCGTTGGCGCTGCTGTGAGCCAGCTCCACGTGGTCTGCAGGTGTTTAAAGCTGACTCTTTCTCTGTGGGGACCTTCCTGGAATTCTTCCAGACACCCCACGCTCACCATCCCCATCATCCCTCCCAAGGCCCCTCCCTCTGCGTTTGATTCCAGCAGACATTTCTTCTCTCTTTGGCCCCTTGGGGTCTCAAGAGCCACCTCCAGCCTCTCGCCTGCTGAGGTCGGCTTGCTCACATCAGTGGCCCTGCTGCATGTGGCCTGAGGCGCCCCCTCCACTATAGCTGCCCTGTGCCCACAGCAGGTCCATGGGGAACATGGGTGTGCTCTGCCCCAACAGACTGTGGATATGCAGACTGCCCGTAGGCTTTGCTCTGCCACCAAGGCAGGGCCAGCGTGTCTCTCCTCCTCTGGTTTTCCCAGGTGGGCTTCTGACAGCCGTCCACCATGTCCCTAACCATAGAGAACTCACACCACGTGTCTCCCCCTGCTGCCTTGAAACCCTCTCGATGGGATGAGATGGGAGGTGGCCAGGCAGCCACCCCCCACCCCCCCAAGCTGCTGTCTCTAAAGAAATCCTCCTCAAAAATTCTCTCCCCCTCTACCCTTTACATCCTCAATGAAGCGGGAGGTTTTAGAGTTGGGGGGACATTTTTTCAGCTAGTGGCTTTAACAATATGTACCTTAATTTAGCACCTCACTTGGGCATGTCCCCTTTGCTGTATCTTGGTTCTCCTGTGAAACTTCCCATTTGAGGTCCATTTGGGGGTGCAGTGTGGCCATCCCTTTGCAGGAATCCCTGCCTTGCGGGGTGAGCGTGGAGCCCTCTTGGGGCTCCAGGGATACGGAGAAGCCATATAGGGATGTGACGGCCCAGCCACTGTCACACACCCTCCCTCTCTTTGGCTTCTCTGAGCATCTCCCTTGCTGGGATCAGGGGATGTCAGAGATGTGGGCAGCAGCCCGCAGCTTCTGATTTGCATCAGGACCAGGATATCAAGACACCGCGTGGGAAAGCAAAAGCGGTGGGCTTCCCAGTGCCACGACGGTGATGTCGTCGGCATGCCTCCTCGTGTCCTCTGTCTCCAGGACTCCGTGCCATTTAGCTGGACTTGCTGTCACTCTGAGCCTTTCTTCCATAACCTTGTCAGAAACTCAGATCAGACCTATGCTCGGAGCTGTGCTTCCCAGACAGTCGGCTGTTGTCGAGTGACGCGGAGCTGTCACCGTTAGACCTCACAGGCCATACAGTGTCAGCGTGCAGGGGACCCAGAGATGTTCCTGCCTAGGAACTGGCAGTGGGGGAGCTGCCCGAGCCCCCTGCTGGCCCCCTGCCCCTCGCCACAGCTGCCCTGGGCCAGCCAGCGGGCTGGCTGTTTTTAAGACCATCGTGCGTCTGTCCAGCGACCCAGGGGCTCTTTCTTTTGCTTCCGCCGTGTTCTCTGTGGTGGACCCGTATGGCAGGTGGTGGTAACCTGGCATTTCTGGTTTAGGTGTAGAGACTGAGTCATTGCAGGACTGGCAGAGAAGACTGGTGGCCCAGCCAGCAACTGGTGGGCATTTCTCAGGGTGGTGGCCTCTCTGTCACTGTCCATCAGGGCATGTTGACTCTCCTGGGATCATGGGGTCACCGCACGTCAGTGTGTGATGTGACCAACTTGCCTTTTAGGGGCCCTTTCTTCTGGACAGTTGTATCCGTTGTCCTGCAGCAATATCCCGATTTTTTTCACGATGCAGAAATTGGTGTTGTATGAAAGCTTATTGATTTTGGTACCACTGATGATCAGTAGCTTTTCTCAGTCTTTTTTTGTTCGGGATGGACTGTGGCTCCCTAAGCAGGAGCCCAAGACACCCCCAAAAGCTGCTCACTGACACTGCTGGCCTCCCTCCCTATTCTAAGCATGAGGTTAAAGGGCTTGCCCAGCAGTTTGGAGGAAAGAAACTGAACCGCCGGGGGGCCCCTGCTGTGTCCCAGGCACTTTGCTAAATACATTCACACCATTTTATATGAATCCTCACCACTCTTCTGCAAGGTGAGCCAGTGTCATCACCTTGGGATTCTAGAGTTGGAGATAGAGGCCCAGAGAGGCTGAGTAATGGTGGCACCTGGGTTTGAACCGCAGCCGGACTCCACAGCCCGCGCCTAGTCTTCCCTGCACCTTTGCCGCCCGCCGCCCCAGGAGCGCTGGCTGGGGCTGAGAGGGCAGCCTCCGCCTGGACACAGCTCCCACAGCAGTGGCCGAGCAGCAGATTGCTTCTCTGACCTCACCTGCCCTGTGTCTTTGTCGAGTGGGGTACTGAGGACCCTGGGCCCATTGTGGAGAAGGTCTTTCCTACTGGGCTGTGTCGCCCGTAAAGTGCGTGGTTGTGTGGGTTTTGTTTAGTGAACTGTTTTCATCCATGTCCCCGGCAGTCACATTTGCAAAGAGCCAGAGGTGCAGCGCCTTGGTGCTGCTAAGGTGTGCCTTTCCTGAATGCTTTCAGAAACATAGCGGAAGAGGCGGGGAGCTTTGTCTCTAGCAAACAGTAACCGTCTTTGCTTTTATCTTCTTCGTTTGCTGACACACAAACCAGCTGAAGAAGCAGGCATTGGAGACACCCCCAACCTGGAAGACCAAGCTGCCGGACACGTGACCCAAGGTCAGTGGGCTAGAATTGCCTGCCACGCGTGACGTAGGGGGCCGGGAAGAGGGGCATGGCGACACAGATGGACCCTACCTACCCTGAAAAGAGAATTTGGACCTGGGCCTTAATTCCTGGTCTTTAGGAGCTGGTTTTTATCGAAGGTGGGCTATTCAGGTAGAGAAAGAGCTCTAGCTCTTTCTAGCCATTTCTGAGTCTTTCCTGAGGTGTTCAGTGTTCTGAAAGAAGCTGGCCCTGCCCAGCATGGGGAGTGGAGAATCAATGACCAGGAGAAACGCAGATAATATGTACGATGAGTGATTTCCCCTGTAGGCGGCCCTCTGGGCTGTCCCGGGAGCAAAGCCTCAACCAAATCACCACTGAGCTATTTCTTTTCAGCTCTCTTCTGTGCAGCCTTCAAACCTTATTATGATTTTCTTCTCAGGGACCAAAACTGCTGTGCTGAAGAAAAGCAACTTCGTATAATCACTGAGCATAAATGTTTTAAGAACTCAATTTTTTAAATCCTAGAGATTCCTGATCTTAGGAAATGGAGACCCCGCCAATACAGCCTAGCTGGGTTTGTTTTCCGTCATTTGCTGCATAAATGAATTTGACAGTCTACTGTGTAATGTGGAAGCTTCTAGATTGTAAGAAAGCAGGGAAAACACTGTTCTTTTCTCCAGAAAGTGATTTGGGATTTGTATAGCGCCACCACTGGGGCCATCTGACTTTAGGAAGACTCTGGGCCCTGAAGAAATGTCCCCTTGAAGGTGTTTTGAAGCCTAACTAACACATTTCTGCTCCCCAGGGGTCCCTGCCCCCGTAGTGGGCTAGGGTTTCTCATCTCACATGTCATGGAAAGGCGTGTTTTCATTCTTAGGCTTACAAAGAGCTTCAGAAAATATTAGAAGGGATAATCATTGTAAGGGGAAACCTCAGTCTATGTGTTAAATAACTAGAATCCTGCCTCCTGTTTCTTTTCGGTTATGATCTGCAGCTTTTAGGTAAAATTAGAGGTTTTTATAACCTCTGGAAATGATGATCTATTTCCATAAAAAGAAATGAATGAGTTTTTTCTACCAATTTTTATTGCAGGCTATGTCTCCATGCCCCTAAAACATATTCCATGCAACAAAAAGATCAGGCCATCAGCTTTCCTAGAAACTTTATTTTTGTGCTAACTGAATTTTTGACTTTCCCAGCACTGGCCTAGGTTCATATAGATATAAAGATGAACACCAGGTAACATCTGCAATGGGAAATTGGCACCAAATCTGTGAACACGTGGAGGTTTCTACCTCTATTCCCAAGGCCCGTATTTAATGTCTTGACTGGAGCTGCTGATCCACATGGCCAAGCCCAAGCTCCCTCCAGTGGAACCTTGTGAAATTCAGGCTCACTCGTGATCCGCAAACATTTTATTTGACACAGGCCTGCCGTCTGTTCTGAACAAAAACAAGCAGCTTTAGGGAGAGCCAAGCACAGCTATTATCTCTTTCTTGCTTTCCTGCTGCAGAAGGAAAACCTCTGGCAGCCTGTGTTCATGAAGTACTAAGACAGAAAAGATGTTTCAGGATGGAGCTGCCATTGGCTGAGTATTAGGTGTGGGGAGACCCTACCCATCTCACCCCTGCTCACGCCAGGGTAGACCTTTCTTCTGTGAGTGTCTCCAGGACCAGGTCTCCCAAGGGAGTGTGGGGACACAAATTTTAACACATCAGACTGTGTTTTCCCAAATATTTTTTACCTTGGACCCACCCCCAGTGATTGCTACGTTTAATATTTACTGAGCACTTTACAGTCTTCTGGGAGCTGAATAGCATGTTCTCCCAGCCTGGCTCCTTCCTCCAGGAGTGCAATGGCACGAGCTAAGGTTCCTCATTCACACACGCATACGCACACATGCGCACATGTGCTGTTACTGTCATCTGTTGGTAGCTTTTCAGGCTGTGTTTGGTGCCCTTGTTTCTGTTTAATGAGGGGCTTTTGAAGTCCTGCAGCATATCAGAGTACGGTAACATCCACATCACGAGCAATTTCTAGGAAGCTCTGGAGGAAAGCTTTTCCCAGGAGGCGCTGGAGACCTGGCCCGTCAGTGGGTGTAAGGACCGGCCGCTGCTGCGCTTCTGGTCTGTTGAGCGGTGGGGTGGGAAGAAGAGGCACTGAGGCACCTGCTCAGGCTGCCTGCTGCCCAGCTTGTTTCCTCCGTCTCTGTCGTTTGGGCGGTTCTTCCCCGAGACTGACCAAGGGCCCCCGTGAGGTGCCTGTAGACCCCGCGGAAGGCGGAAATCAGCACGTTTTCCTGACACGCCTTCATGTACCGATCCCTGGCCTTGTGGCAGGCTCTGTGGGGGTGCTAGGAACACGAGATGAGTGGATGGTGAGCTCAAGGCCCCGGTGTAGGGGTGAGAGGTAAGGGTGAGCTGGGCCTCTTGATAAGGGTCCAGTGGGCAGCTGCAAGGACTCCGACTGGGTTGGGGCGAGAGGGACGTGTTACCCATGTGTGTGGACACCTGTGTTCTCCCACCTCCTTCCCCTCCCCTCATCCAGTCTCTTTCTCTTCCAAGACCCCCAATCCTTTGGGGTTCCAGATTTTGTTTAGAGGAGAGCCATGAAGTTGTTCTGGAACTAGGTAGGATGTTTGAAGAGTTGGGAGTTAAAACAAATACGGAATGTTTATTAGGAGAACCAATGAGCATACGACTCCTGTCCTTAATACACAGATACTTTTTTTTTTTTAATTTATTTTTGGCTGTGTTGGGTCTTTGTTGCGGTGTGCGGGCTTCTCACAGCGATGGTTTCTCTTGTTGCGGAGCACAGACTCTAGGCGCGTGGGCTTCAGTAGTTGTGGCATGCGGGCTCAGTAGTTGTGGCTCACGGGCTCTCGAGCACAGGCTCAGTAGTTGTGGCGCACGGGCTTAGTTGCTCCACTGCATGTGGGATCTTCCCAGAGCAGGGATCAAACCCGTGTCCCCTACATTGGCAGGCGGATTCTTAACCACTGCGCCACCAGCGAAGTCCCAATACATGGATACTTTAAGGAGGGATTCACGTGAATGTCTCATGAATGAAGCAGAAAAACGGGAACTGTGCCCTCCATCCACTAGGTTGGCACATGGCAAGTGGTGTGATAGGGGTGAAGCAGTGGTCCCCGTGGGCCGCGCATGTCCTTGCCGTGCAGACCACCTTTACTGCCACGGTGGTCGCCTCACCTCGTGCAGAAGGCTGTCCATAATCCACGATCCGGATGCACCTGAACCGTGTTTCTGTTTACTGGGGTCTCATGGCAGGTCTGTTAGTAAAGACTCGAGCCCTGATGGCGATACGTTTTGGGCTTTTCAAATCTGTCAGGGTGGGTTTGTAGGCACCTGCTGGTTTCATTCAGCAAAGAGAGAGAAGGAGAGGAAAAGAGATCCTCACTGCGCCCCAGCCAGTTCCCAGCTAGAGGCCAGAGTCTTCGGGGGGCTCGCTCTCCCTGGAGAGGAGGACAAGCTTCGTGGCTGGTGGAGTTAGAACGAGGCAGCCCCAGTTAATGACAGGATGCTCGGAGCCCAACCAGACCCACGATGGGCAGAGGGATAATGCTGGCACTAGACGGGGCTTTGGTCCAAAGATGAGAAAACTGCCCAGAGAGGGGAGGTGCTCACCCAGCAAGTTGGTGGCAGATAGACCAAGAGACCTTTCATTCTGAGCAAAGAAAAGCAACGAGGGTGAGCCCAGAGCGTGGGCTCCTTTTTCTTGGTTAGGTGGGCTTGAGATGCCGTTTAAATGTCCTTTTCTTCTTTCCAAAGTGTGTCCCCTCTCTTAAACACTTAATGCGCTCTTGCTAACCTTTTGCCACCTCCGCCTCTTCAAACCCAGAGGAGGGGAGAGTTCCGGGCCAGCAGAGGGAAGTGTCTGAGAGGCCCCCTGCTAATGGGCTTAGCTCTCAGGTCCAGCCTGCACACGGCCAAGAAGCTTCTGGGGTCTCCGAGCTGCATCTGGGGGAGAAACAGCCAGAAGCTCCCATCCTGGCGATCCCTCACCTTTCCCAGCATCATCCTGTCTGCCAGCCGCCTCTCCCACCAGGAGGCCCTCAGGAGCCCTACCAGGAGTGGGGACCAAAGCGAGGGGAGCAGGCCGAGGAGGGGCTGGCCTTTCCGAAGCCCACCTACCCTGGATGTCGCCAGATTGAGCCTGGGAGTGTCAAGGTTGTCCAGGAAAGCTTCCTCAGGGAACCAGGGCGCCGTGGAGGTGAGGCCATGGACCCCGGGACCCCAGGTCTGACCTGCCAGCACGTGTCTGACATGCCTGGGGCTCCCATCCTGCCCGAAGGCCCCAGAGAGGCCACACACCAGCATTCGGGGCCAGAACCTGAGGATGCAGACGGCAGCCGCTGCGGCTCTGAGCTGCTGGAGTGCCAGCTTCTGGGAGACCTGACCCAGGAGGGGCCGCCTCTGAAGAGGGAGCAGGGCAAAGAGAGGCTGGGGGCCGAGGAGGTGGATGAAGACCGGGACACTGACGAGTCCTCTCCCCAGGACTCCTTTCCCTCCCAGGCCTCCCCACGTCTGCAGAGCCCCACCACCCGAGGCGGGCCAACCCCCGACGCAGTTTCCGGAGAAGCCCCTGGGATCCCTGGTTTCTCAGCCAAGGGTGCCATCCCCCTCCCTGTCGATTTCCTCTCTAAAGTTTCTGCAGAGACCCGGGTCTCAGAGCCCGATGGGCCCGGGGAGGGGCCCCCAGCGGAAGGGCACGACGAGCCCCCCGAGTTCATGTTCCACGTGGAAATCAAAGCCAATGTGCAGAAGGAGCAGGGACCTTCGGAGGTGGATTTGGAAGGGGCTGCAGTTCCTGGGGCCTCTGGAGCAGAGCAAGAGCCCTGGGGCCCCTCTGAGGGCGAGGACACAAAAAAGACTGCCCTTCCAGAACCATCTGAAAAGCAGCCTGCAGCTGGTCTGCCGGGGAAGCCCGTCAGCCGGGTTCCTCAACTCAAAGGTCTGTGTCTTGAGCTCCTTTGCTCCTGCCCGGCGACCTTGTGTGCCACCCAGGCTGCGGGCACTGCCACTGAGCTTCCGGCCCCTCCTTGGTTCCTGCCGCTTCCAAGGCCCCCGGGGGACAGCCACCAAATCGGCCACTGGGCCTCTGCTCACCCTCCCGCCTCCTCCTGCCCTTCAGGCTCCTCTCACGCTTGCCCGCCGTTTTGCATGTCACCAACACCCCCCGCCCCATGCTTTCTGCCCCGTTCGCTTCTCTGGCCACTTGATTTATCCACAAGGTTCCATCGGCCCGCTGGAGGCTGGTGGGCCGCGCTCCACAGAGAGCATAGCAGCTCCTCCCACTTTGGAGGGCTTGTTATGTGTTTCAAATTCATTGTCTAGAACCCTCCCAAGTGGGCATAATTAGCCCCACTTTGCAGGTGAGGAAACTGAGGCTCGGAGAGGTAAAGTACCTTGCTGAAGGTCACTGAGTATTAGGTGATGGAGCCAGGTTCGGAATCCAGGTAGGTCTGCTCCGAAAGGCCCTTCCTTCCCTATACACCACGGTGCCTTCCAGAAGGTTCTGAAGTGTGTCCTCCTAGCCCGGAGACTCAGAGGGCACGTGCCTGTCTTCTTCTTCGGCTCTGTCAGTGGACAGCACATCACATGTAGCAGGCGACACACACAAGCATTTGGAGGTGGCCCAGAGTCCCCACCCCCACTCCACTCCACCCTGCCTCGTGGCAGGATAGACAGTGAGCAGAAACAAAAACTCCCTGTGGAAGAAAACACTTCCTCCTCCCTCGGCAGAGCCCAGGCAGTCCCTGTGCTGGGATCGCAGGGGTCTCAGCCCTGGCCCAGTCTTGAGCCCTGGGAAGCGTCACTGCGGCAGCCCTTCAGGAGCTGGAGAGATGGGAGGGGAGGTTCCCAAGGGTCAGGGTCTGTGTCCTGTCAGTGAGAGGACAGTTTATACAGCAGAGGGGGCCTCCTGGGTGGCCGCAAGTCGAGCGCATTCATATATTTAGGTCCTGTAGCATTTTAGAATTATTTGCGGGGCCCAGAAATTGAGGCTACTTAAGCTGTCAGTTGCAGACACCTGTTAAATGTGGATTAGAGTCTACTCGTCGTGAAAACTTTGAAATGTGATAGATAAAGGAACCTGTATTTAAAATTTAAGTCAGAGAAAGAGTCCTACTTTAAAATATCCTAAACTTCAAAATAGCATGGGACAAAATACTGTGACTTGACAGATTACAACAGTGTTTCCTGAAGTGGCATTTTATTGAATACTGGTCCACTGGATGTTGATAGGTGTGTCCAGGGAAAAAAGAGTTCCATGGTCCAATTAGTTTGGGAAAAAAAAACCAGGTGAAACAAAGTTAAACAGGGTTTGCTGCAGCAGGACTTGTCAGAGCCTTTAATATTCTAATGTACATTATGACCCTCTGAGAAGGATACATGGTATGCATTTCCCCAATTCGCCAGTCAGCACTGGGAGATGCTGATCTAGCAGATGCTTTTGTTGTGACATAGATGATGATGGTCACTGGGGCAAAAGATGTGGACCAGGTCCACCTGGGGCTCTTATTAAAATGCAGATTCCTGGGCCCCACCTTAGGCTTACTGTCTCAGAGTGAGCCCGGGATTCTGTATTTTAGGAATCTCTCCCAATGGGGTTCTGCTGCATAGTAAAGTTTGAAAACCTCTAGGCTAGGTCATCAGTGCTGGTCACTCTAGCAATCTGGTCTCCAGTAACCAGTGAGATGCTCCAACCAGCCCCATTGTCCCTGGAGCAGGGGATATACAATATTGAAGCCAAAGACAGAAACCTATAATTAGTCTTCAACAATGAATGCCAATAACAGGAGTGAGTTAGAGGTGACACTGGTAGACAAGTGGATTGGTTTCACCAACGGGTGTGGCTTTCCAAACACAAAAGCCATCAATGGTTTGGTCCTAAAATCCAGAGGTTATCTATAGGATGTTTGACAGTAGCTAGATTGTTGCTAGCTTGGAGAAATGGCAAGCATTAGTCCTCTTGGTAGAGCCTGTAAGTGGTGAGAAGACCCTCCAGGGCTGGGTCAAGGGTGGAATGGGCTTGTCAGAGAGCCAGCTGGGGCTGGTCACCAAAGCCTCCATTAGTGAGGGGCGGGCTCTGGGAAAACAGCCTACACCCCTTGGCCCTTGAATGAGCAGAGGGGTCCTGCAGGGACCGGAGCCTGGCTGAGCTGCCCCATCCGTGGCCCTGGGTTTTCCAAATGCCCCTCCTTGGAGTGGGGTTGGCCCCAGCTGTGGGAGGCTGACCCTGACAGAGACGGGGAGGGAGCCTGTGAGAGGTGGTCCTGTACTGTCTACCTTCCCTGATGGCCCCTGTGCCAACATATGCCTGGAACAGTTTCCCCTCTGCATGTCCCTGCCCTCGGCCAGCCTGCTGCCCCCTCTTGTCAGGGTGCTCCAAGCAATGACTCCAGTGTGCTGTGTTGATACTAACAACGAGAACCTAACAGATTCAAGGGGAAAGAAAATCAACTGGATTTCCACTGGCCCAACTGAACAAGACATGTTGTATGGATCCCAAGAAATCAGCTCCACTCCGTCGGGCTCTTTGTGAGCTGTGCTAATGGGTGTAACATACATTCTCATTTTATATTTTATCAGCTCGCATGGTCAGTAAAGGCAAAGATGGGGCTGGACCCGAGGACAAAAAAACCAAGGTAAGCTGACAAAACCATGAAACCTCTCTGCTGCCATCAAGTTGATCAAGAAGCCATGCTTTGTATCTGAATTAATCTTTATATATAACATGTGGAGAGCATTTGTCCCTGAAGTACAACTGTCATTCCAAGTGCTTTGTGTTTTTATGCAAACTTTTAAAATTCTAGCATTTATCCCTGGACGCTTGGGCCAGGGAAGGGCAGTCAGCAAGTTATGAATTAATTAATGCTAATTGTAGTTGGATCAGCATAGTTTGAATTAAGACGTTCACAGCAAATGAAGGTGTGTTTGAATTTTCTGCAGTGAAGTTTGAAATTTGCACATTTTACACTTCCCGCTACAGGTCTAGGCTCAGCAAATATGTATCTATATACATACACGCACACAGATATATTTAAGATATATCTAGAAAATACCATTTCCTTAGGGGGCTGAGGGAGTACTGAGCAAGAAGGAGATCTCCAGCCTGAGGAGGAGGGTCCTGGAAAAGCCCTAGAAGAGCGGACCTGTGAGGCAGGCCGAGAAGGAAACATGAAGGGGGTTGGTGACGTAGGAGTGAGAAGAGGCGTTCTAAGGAATAGGACCAGCGCAAGCAAAGGCCCGGGGGCATGAGGAGACTGTTTGGGGAGCTCTGAGCAGATCGGCTTGGTTGCTGCCGAGCTCGGAGTGGGGCTGACACAGGCTGGAGGAGGGAAGCCTGACACACACCCGACATACTGAGTGGACACGGCCATGATGCCGTGGACGCCGTCCTGAAATCCCGCCAGCCGGTCTTCAGAAACCCCCCGAGGACCAGAAAATGAAGCAACTTGCTCACCACCAAAACCACACCCGGAACAATGTGGTCCTTCTCATGCTCCCTTTCAGCTGTAGTTTACTCTCCTCCATGACTGTGCATCTTGGAAAAAGCTCCTGTAAATGCATGGTAGTGTTTTGCCAGGAAAACCTCACTGGGGCCCTAGATGAAGACCTGTTTTCCTTAAAGGCATCTCAAATGTCCCATATGCATGCTGCCTGAAACGCCTGGGTCTTAATCAGTCCTGGAGGCCTGACGGAGTCCCCAGGTGCAGAATGAAGCCCTAGGAGTTTGGTCCTGTGTGTTGAGGGTCGCTGCCCGAAGTGTCTGCCCTAGAGGAAGTAGGCTTCGCCATCAGGACTCTGCCCATCAGTGGGGCAGCTGAGGGTCCTGCAGGAACCTGAGGGGAGGCAATAGCTGCTTGCCAATCATGATGCCCATTCAGGGGAATCGCATCCTCATGCCGGCATGCATTCTGCGCACTCGTCCATCAGGAAGCCGTCCCTGCCCTGGAGCTGCTCACAGCCTCACAGCAAGGGGGCAGATCTCTCACGAACCTTGGCCACTTGGCCAGGTAGGGAGCAGTGCCAGGGGAGGGGGACCTCGCGCAGCTGGGGAAGGAGGGGTTGCCAGTACCCACCCTCAGCTTTTCTTGTCAGCAGCCCCAGGGCTTCAGCCCGCATCCCTCCCCTCACCCCCGTGCTCCATTCCTTTCACCCTCATCCTCCCCAAGGCTGGCAGCAGAGAGGGTCTCAGCCACCTTAGTGAGGAACCCCAGTAGCAAAGTCTCTGGTCAGGACCCTGCTCTGTAGCTCTGACATCCTCTGGGCTTGGCCTCTTGGTTGTATTCCTGAAGGCATGGCCCTTCCGCCTCCCAGGCCACCCTTCCCTACCAGGGCCACACATCCCCATCCAAGGCCCCCAGAGGCCATCCAGACAAACCGCAGGTGTTGGCCACCATCCTTCACATGCTCTCGTCTCCGTGAGGCCAGCCAGCTCACGGAGCCCTGTCCCATTGGCCGCCTGCCCCACCCAGCCTATTTCCTTAGGTGGACCGTGTCCAAGAGTAAACAGTGGCCAGATAAGATTCACCAGACAGTGTTTAGCTTTGAGACTTTATTCAGAAAGTGTGTGTGTGTGTGTGTGTGCGTGCGTGCACGTGCATGATCTAAGTGGTGTCAGGCAGAATCTTCAAGACCTGGGACAGGCACAGTTCTCTTTTTAGCAAGGACAATTCTATCGGTGCGGTGGAAGAGGGCCAGGAGTTAGGGGGCCAGCATGAGCTCCCCACCTGGAATTGAGCAGAGCCTGAGGCACTTCTGACCCATGACACATTGGAGGTGTTTTTCTTGAGAAACATCCTAAGAATCACATACTTTTGGCGACCTCCATCAACTCTTTGGGTGCGAGACACCTTTAAACCAGTGGTCTCCAAAGGGCAGAGCTGAAGTAGATCCAATGGGCTGGAGAAAGAACATACCAGAAAGTCTATCCATTGTCCAAGTTCTGCCACATGAAAGTTTCATAATGTTCATCATATGTTAGCGTCGTAGTATATGTATTAGCTGGTGCATAACTGCAAGTACATGAGATGCATGGTCACGTTCTGTTCTTCCTGATAAGAAGGACTGGTAAGGGTGCGTGATCCAAACAGTTTGGAGATCACGGCTTTAAACCATTACCTGTCTTATTTATTTGTAGTCACTGTCTTTTTTTCAGTTTGTTCATTTCTCCCATGTGCTGACTTTTATTTTGATTTTATTCATGTTTATGTTTAAGACATCCACACCTTCCTCTGCTAAAACCCTGAGCAATAGGCCTTGCCTTAGCTCCAAACGCCCCACTCCTGGTAGCTCAGACCCTTTGATCAAACCCTCCAGCCCCGCCGTGTGCCCAGAGCCATCTTCCTCTCCTAAACACGTCTCTTCTGTCACACCCCGAACTGGCAGTTCTGGAGCAAAGGAGATGAAAGTCAAGGTAAGGAAAGCACCTTTGGAAAGAATGAGGCTGCTCTACTGTGGTTTTCAAGTGTATGCTTTTCTAGCTGCAAAGACCTTTCTTTGGATAAGCTCTTACCTAGAAGCGCCACATAGAACAGTTAAAATTCTGGCTGAAACAAGGAAAAGGAGGCACAGTGCCATCCTTCTTGGCGCCCCGTCGGCCCTCGTGGCAGCAGCCCTGAGGCACCGGAGGGGACCCTGGCTTGGAAATCGCCACTCTGCTTGGGTTCCTTTGTCCATTTCTGACTTTGGTAACCTGGGGGTGCTTCCAGGTTGCCCTCATTTTGGGTCGGACAGCATCACTCTGCAGCCATGCCTGTTCCACCAGTTTACTCCTTCCTGAACCATCTCGTGGTCCTCAGTTCATGTCAGTTTCTTCTTTGAGTTTGTGTTATATGTCAAGGTCATCAACTGGGTCCCCAGACCCAGTCACTGTCCCCAGTCAGCTGACTTGTGCACCTGTGCTCCACCTTTGGCCAGTTTGCTAATTGATGCTGGTGTTCACCCGCCAAGGGCTCTTAGCACACCTGAGGTGGTACTGAAGCCTGAGGCTTGTTTGGGAGAGAACAGAAGGATAGGGCGGAGCTCTGTTAGCATTCTCTGTCAGTTTCAACAAACTGTCTCCTTGTCCCTCTGAAACTAACCACCACCAGTCAGATAAATTCCTAAGGGAGTCAGAGAGCGGTGTCCACGTAGCAAGAGTCTACAGATGTCCTGCCTGCCGACACTGGTTGGATGATGAACTCGATCATTGCTGTAAGCTCTGTTGACTTTTTATTAAATACATTAGCTCAGCTCTTGCAGATAACTCATGTAAAATGTCCCTCCAGGAGGAAAAGGTAGGCATTTGGGAGGGGCTGTGGATTTGTGTGCCCAGCAAACCCTCGTCATTGTAGAGGACATTTGTTGTATCTGGCTGGCAAAGTGTCACCCCAACCTTAGCCTCATTTGGAGTCACGGTGGTTGAATGGGGCTGGCATTGACACCGGGTGGCAGGAACCTTTCTCAGTCGTAAAAACCACTCTACCATGCTTTGTTTACAGGGGGCAGATGGTAAACCTGGAACGAAGATCGCCACACCCCGGGGAGCGGCCCCTCCAGGCCAGAAGGGCCCGGCCAACGCCACCCGGATTCCAGCAAAAACCACGCCCACCCAGAAGACCACGCCCACCCCGAAGACCCCACCAGGCACGGGTAAGAGGGATGTTCTCTGGAATCCAAGTCGGGGGAGAGCTCGCTGTGGAGGCCCTGACAGTTAAGCTCTGGTAGCTGATCAACGCCTGCAGTTTACTAAGCACCGAAGTCTAATTCTTTTAATTTTCTGAGCTAGATATTGAATCCCCACTTATTACCACGAAGAAATCGAGGCTCAACTAAGTCTAACCAGACTTTTAAGCACGAGGAAAATGCAGCTGTAAGACTAGTAACTGACGGAAAAGGGGCTTCTCTGAGATCCTTGGACCCCACATCCAGGGCCCCTGGGAGGTGTTTTTCAGTCCCCAAATGAGGGTTAGGTCACTATAGGTGACCTCACACAGGGCACGGCCCCTGCTAACTTGCTGGGATGTTAGGGACCCTCGGACAGAACGTAAGAATCTTAGCTAAGCAGTCACACCCTGGGCCCGTTCCCCCGGGCTCCTGTGAGTAAAACCCACTGGGTTTTGAGTATGAGGCAAGGCTTCACTTGAGCCATCTTGCTTCCACTGGGGACAGCCAGGCTGAGTGCCCCTGTCTCACTGTCCTGGGGACTGTCCCAGGAAACTGGGTTTAGATTGTGCATGACTCGGGGGGCATCTGGCCTGCGCTGGCTCAGGGGCCCTGTGGATCTTATATGGGCTGCGCACGAGGCCTGGGCTGGTGCCACGGGGCCTCTGCTGCCCCTTGGCCCCGGGGTGGCCGCTCAGAGCCCTTGTCTGCTGCGTGTCTTGGCTGTGATGTTTCTCGAGGTTGCCGTAGAGTGGGGCCTGCACGGACGCCCGCTCGTCGGTTTTCTCCCACGGGGTTTTTCCGCGTGTATACGATATATATGGTACGGGGTAACTTCGAGACTTGTGACTGGGATTTTTACATGATTTTGACGCTGCTTTTTTTCACTGGTCATTGTGCCAGTTGATTCACGCGACTGGATCATAACTGGAAACAAGAACGTGTGTTTCTCTTTGGATCTTACCTGCTCTGGGTGGACAGATCTCCCCCAAGTTGGCCTTGTTTCCTGCCCGATGGAGTCCCTGACCCCGTTCCCCGCCTTGGTCGCCTCTGTGGATGGCCTGGCTGGGCATGACTGGGCGCCCATAAAAAAACACTCATTAAGGCCTCTTTAAGCTTGATGATAACCAGGCTTTCTGTGGATTTTTCTTTTTAAGCTACCGAGCAAGTGCAGAAAAAACCACCTCATGGAGGGGCAAAATCTGAGAGAGGTAATTCTGAGCCTGCTGCGCCCGCAGGGTCATGCCTTTTGCGCATGTGCCTCTTGGTTGGCTTAGGTTTTTAGAGCCGAGAGGACGTGCTTCTGAAACGTAGGTTTCCCACGTTGAGCCTGAAGTTGGCACAGTCAGAATTCCTGCTCCCCTCTTCGTGTGGTTTGTGCGGATATGTCTGTCCGACGGGCCTTTCTAATCCTGCGTGCTCTCACTTCAGCCGAGGGCTGTGGTGGGCCCAGGGGAGGATGTGCCTCGAGCTGATACGGGGGCTGGAGGTCTGCACTGGCCCCAACCAGGTTACATGTGAGATCGCACCGGCACCCTGTGGGTGACGGTCACTGTGCTGGACCCGGGGAGGTCGAGTAACTTGCCTAAGGTCACTCTGCAATTCAGTGGCGCAGAAAGAATTTGAAGGCACCACCAGGTCCACCAGCCAGCCTGTGTGCCTGGGGGCAGAGGGTGGGGGGCACCGAGCCCTGGCTGCAGAGCTTGGCACCGTGAGGGAGTTCCAGCAGACACGGAGACTCCACTAAAAGCCACACGCTCCTTCTCCCCTCGGCAAGAGAAGTCGCCGCTTCCAGCAAAGAGCTGCCCTTCTCCAGCCTGGGGCCCGGCAGGTCCCTGTTTGGTACAAATGGTTCCTGGGGCGGGGGCATCAGCCACCCTCAGAGCTGGAGCCCAGCATCCAGCCCAGTGGCTCTCAGACTCAAGTCTGCTCAAGAATCCCTGGGAGCGTGGGAAGCACCAATTTTGCAGGCCCCACCCCTAGAGATTCTGTCCTATCAGGTCTAGATGGGGCCTGGAGATCTGCATCTTACAGGTCCCACTCCTCCGTGGTGGCTCTGGAGATTCTGATGCAGGGGTGCCTGGGGCCACACTTGGTGAAACACGAATCCAAGAGGCAGACGGAATAGCCAACTATTAAAGTGTGACGGGGGATGAGAAGTGCAGGAAGAAGACGCATGTTAGGGAACCCAGGGCTGTTCCGCTGGGAGAGGGATGGGCCCAGTGGCCTTCCTGGAGGGCTTGGCGCCCGCATTGCACCTGGAAAAGTGCACTGCTATTTGCTGCGCACCGCTTTGGTGGGGAGAGGGTTCTCGGGAGGGCAGGGCGGCAGGAAGCGGCATGGCTTGTTTGGAGAGCGAGGGACAGATGGACACGAAGCAGGTATACCATTGTGGAGCCCAGGTACCACAGAGGAGCTGGGAGCTTGGATGGGTCTGAGGGAAAAGGGGCCTTGAACTTGGAGAACAGCTTAAAATTCACCCTGTGGTTAAAGAGTCCAGTGGATCTAGATGGGCCCCTGGCCCAGCATTGCATTGCCCTTATTCAGGGCACAGGCCATGTATCCCTGCCCGGCCTCACTTACTGCAGGCATTACAATATTTTCCTCTGAGCTCAGAGTGGGTAAATGACTTGTCTGAGACCACGCAGCTAGCTGGAGCCTCTCCTGGCCCCAGGGCCACGGGGCAGAGTTGGTCCCCCTCTAGGGGGTACTGGGTGGTCCTTGGCGACCACTCTTTTGCTTCTCTGGGAAGCAGGATATCTCTGTCGCAAAGCAGCACGGCTGAGAAGTGGAGACGTTTCTCTAGAAATGGGACCAAGGGCAGCCTCCTGCTGGTTTGACTGAGCTTCTGACCTTGTTTCCACGTGCCTGATCCAACCCTGAGTCTGGGAATGGACCCCAGGACAGATAGCCCTTTGCTAACTGGCCTCATGCCCTCCTTCCTTTCCAGGTGAATCTGGGAAATCCGGGGACCGCAGTGGCTACAGCAGCCCAGGCTCCCCAGGCACTCCGGGCAGCCGCTCCCGCACCCCTTCCCTGCCGACCCCGCCCACCCGGGAGCCCAAGAAGGTGGCAGTGGTCCGCACTCCACCCAAGTCACCGTCTGCAGCTAAGAGCCGCCTGCAGACCGCCCCCGGGCCCATGCCAGACCTGAAGAACGTCAAGTCCAAGATCGGCTCCACAGAAAACCTGAAGCACCAGCCGGGAGGCGGGAAGGTAAGGGCGTGCAGAGGCTGGCTGTGCAAGAGGAGGCGGGTGGGTCCCCCGCAGCTGGGCTGGAGGCGGGCGAGCGGCTCTCCTCCCACCACCAGCCTGGGTCCCCCCGCCTGCCCCCCATAGCACAAGCACCTCCCCGGCCTCTTCAAGGAAAGACAGTAGGTTACTGTTCGGTTCTTTACTGGGGTCACCACCAGGCCGTGAGTGCCCTGCTCAGGGGAGAGAAAGTACCGGTTCTTCCCTTCCTCACTTCAGCCCTTGCTGATTGGACGGATCTGAGGTGACAGGCTTGTAGCTCCGTGACCTGGCGGTTCTCAAAGTGGGTGCCACAGGGGTTCCCTGGCTGCCTTGTGTTTCGAAAATGAGACAACCAGTCCATAGGTGGGTGTGTCTCTGGTGTTGGTTGGACATTTGTTTAGGTCCCAATTCTGGAGAAATCTGTGATTCTGTTTTGAACAACTGATTCTTCCAGGGACGAATAGGTGCTCATGACATTTCTGGGTCTCCCAAAGTTGGAGAAAATGAGCTTCCAAGGCTCAGAGGTGGAGAGAAATGGGGACGGCCTGGACCGTCTTCCTCCTCTTCTTGACCCCATCCCCCGTTGTATGAGTTTCCTAGGGTTGACATACGAAATACCATGGCCTGGGCGGCTTATACAACAGAAATGTAACGCCTCATAGCTCTGGAGGCCGGAAGTCCAAGATCAAGGTGTCGGCGGGGGTTGTGTCTTCGTCTCTCCTTGGCTTGTAGGTGCCGCCTTCTCCCCATGGCCTCACATGGTCCATCTCTGGGTGTCGCTGTGTCCCAGTCCCCCCTTCCTATAAGGACACCAGTCGTATTGGATTAGGGCCCACCCTAATGAGCTCATTTTAACTTAATGAGCTCTTTAGAGACCCTGTTCCAAATACAGTCCCATTCGGAGGTGCTGGGAGATGGGACTTCAGCGTGTGGATTTTGGGGGACACAATTCAGACAATAGCAGTCCTCCCCCACCAGCACAGGGTGGGGAACAGAGAAGAAAGAAGGGAGGCGGGAAAGGGATTGGAGGACCAAGACCCAGCTCTTGTGTTGGGCCTTCCAGGCTGGGCCGTTTTTGGGGCAGCGAGCCTCCTGGTGGGCAGGGGCCAATGTTTCCCTTTCAGTCGGGACCCCCAGCTGGGGCCTCCGCACTCTTGATTTTATTAATCACTGTTGTCTGGGGCCTGGGTCACCGTGGAGGGAGGGTGTCTCGGAGCACCTTTGGTCCATGTTGGTGCCATTGCCTGAAACCATGCACTTTGCTTCCCGTGGAGCCTCAGGGACCCCTGCTGGCCTTTCCCATCCTTGGGACCCGAGCGGTCCTGCCCAGTGGGGAGGTCTGGGTGCCTCTCGGGGTCTCATCGCACTGGTCTTTGGGCCACAGTGGTGGGCCTGAGCCGTGTTTACCTTCCTGCAGTGTTTGCTGTGCTTCGTAAAGCTGCCTGTCTCCTTCCAGAAGGGGCTCTGGTGCAGCTGGCTGGGGCGCTGGCTTGAAGTTGACCCCTCTGTGAGGCTCTGGGGGCAGAGGGACCCCCAAGGAGAGGGTTTCCAAGGTGATGGGATGTTTCCCACTGGCGTTCGCACCCCTCCCTCAATGCTGTGGATGTCCTGTGTGTGCCCTGTTTTCATAGCACAGAGCATTTGCCTGTTTTGAAAAATGAAAAACAAAGCCCCACACGGCCAATTCTGCACCACTGAGAAGATTGTGGGGCTGTGACCAGCGTGCTCATCACGGCAAGAGGGAAACCATGACCATCAGTGCCTCCCAGCCTGCGGGGCTCTGTCACACACCTGCAAACACCCACCGGCTGCCCCAGCCCATTTGGCCCCGTTCTGGTGACTCCGCTGAGAGCAGCAGTGACAGGGCTGACAGGGAGGAACCCACGCCTCGCACCTGAGCCGCTGGCCCCGAGGGCCAGCGACTTGATGCTCAGGGCGGAAATGGGGAGGGTGCCCCCAGGTTATGGCCGCACCGCGCTGGGGCGCAGACGTGTGTCCATGGCAACTGAAGGTTAAAGAAGAAAAGTGACTTTTCTTGGGGCTTTTTGGGGAGGAGATGTGAGGAAATGGCAGAAGGGGAGGTAATAGCTTCCCCTTAAATTCCATGGAAAACCTAGAAAATTGTGTGAAACAAAGAAAACCTGACCCATAACAAAGTTCAACACATTAATCTCCAGGAAAAACGACAAGAAAAGGAAAAAAGAAGGCACCTGGGATCCACAGAGAAGGCCTTTTAAAATGACTAGACTGGGACTTCCCTGGTGGCACAGTGCATAAGACTCCGCGCTCCCAATGCAGGGGGCCGGGATTCGATCCCTGGTTGGGGAACTAGATCTCACATGCATGCCACAACTGAGTTCACGTGCCACAACTAAGGAGCCCACGTGGTGCAACTAAGGAGCCCATGAGCCACAACTAAGGAGCTGGCAAGCCACAACTAAAGAGCCCACAAGCTGCAACTAAGGAGCCTGCCTGCTGCAACTAAGACCCAGTGCAACCAAATAAATAAATAACTAATAAAATGAAGTGACTAGACTGAAGGTCCCTCAAGGTCCCGTGAGATCTTTGGGTCCCCGTGGCCTCTCATTCAGCCCCACATACAATACAGTAAGTGCTCAATCACTGTTTATTCGGCTACAAAAGGGACAACGAATGCTCCAAGGGTCTGAAGGATAACTCAACTCCCGGAACAGATGACACGTTGAAGAAGGAGAAGCAGGAGATGGTCATGTTTGTAAACCTGCAGAGACTGAAAACCGCAACAGATCACTGGTTGGAAAAAAATGTAAAACATCTGTTTTCTGCTTTGTCCATTCCTCTGTTTTCATGATTCACTACAGTGAACATATATCGCTTGAAGAGTCCAAAACGGATGATCACCTGGCCACTTTAACAACCAGCTGGATCCACCAAAGGTGGGGAGGGAAGGAAGGAGTAGCAGTTCTCTTGTGACTGCAAAGGAGAATCACCTGGGGCAGGGAAGGGGGAGGATTCTTTTAAAAATCCTAGTGCCAGGGCTTCCCTGTTGGCGCAGTGGTTGAGAGTCCGCCTGCCGATGCAGGGGACACGGGTCCGTGCCCCGGTACGGGAAGATCCCACATGCCGCGGAGCGGCTGGGCCTGTGAGCCATGGCTGCTGAGCCTGCGCGTCCGGAGCCTGTGCTCCGCAACGGGAGAGGCCACAACAGTGAGAGGCCCACGTACCGCAAAAAAAAAAAAAAAAAAAAATCCTAGTGCCAAAGCCTCTCCCTGGCCCGTGAGAATCTTGAGAGGGCCTCCCTAGGGGTTCCCAGTGTGCAGTCCAGGCTGAGACCCCATGGGGAGCTAAGATCCCACATGCCTCACGGCCAAAGCATAAAACAGAAGCAATATTGTAACAAATTCAGTAAAGATTTTAAAAATGGTCCACATCAATCAATCAATCAATATTTTATAAAAGAAGAAAATGGATAGAAATACGGTTGTGACTGGAGGTGTCACAGTAGATATTAGTAAAGTAAAAAGATAAAAGGACAAAGAAAGTCCATGTAATTGAAAGGGGAAAATGAACAAATATCAGGAATTAAACTGTAGGGCCAAGGGTTTATCTGTTAAGAGTCCAGATATTATGTCAATAATCTAGTCCATAAAGAAAAACACCTATAAATATAGAGAAGCAGAAATTGCTTCTAATCTCTAACCTCATTGTGATACACCAGAACTTCACTGTGTGCATATCACCAATATGACCACAAATGCCTGAGAATTAAAAACCTTTCCTTTGTCACTGCTCATTCAGTTTGGAAATGAAAATGCCTTTTCCAAGTGCCTTGATAACAAATGCCATAAATTATGTGGTGATGCCCCCAAATTGTACTTAGAAGGAATTCATAATTTTAAATGCTTTTATTATTTTAAAAACTTAACGATTGCAGCATATATGTTCTTATTGGAGGGAAAAAGAAAAGAATAAGAATACAGAAACAAAGATAAGAGCAGAAATAAATTAGAAAACAGAACATACAATAGCACCAAAAGCTGGTTCCTTCTCTCTTTCCTTTATTCATTGATCCAACATTCCTGCGGCACCTCTGAGCGCCAGGCCCTGTGCTGTGAGAGTTTCTGCCCCCAGGCCCAGGCAGGAGAGAGAGGCACATAAGCATATAAAAAAGGGCAAGAGGAGAGGTTGGCCAGGGAAGCATATGCAGGAGGGAGCAGCCTGCACCATCGAGGGTCCCCCATACTGAGGGTCGCCTGTACTGTTGTCACCCACACTGAGGGGGTTACCTGCACCCTCAAGGGTCACCATACTGAGAGTCACCTGTGTTGTGGAGTGTCACCCACAATATCAGTTGTTATCAAGTCAGAGAAGATAGGACAGACCCTTGTTTGGGACCGTCACTGGGTCTTTGAAAGGAAAGTCCCCCATGTAGAGTGCTGGAGACATAGAAGAGAGAATAGTGGGAAACTGCGCCTGGAGATGCTCAGAGCAAAAGCAAAATAAAGCTAAAACTGGTGCCAGCTGGGGTAGCAGAAGGGCGTGGGTTAGGGTGGAGTTTTGTTCGTTTACGCGAGAGCTTTGGAGAGTGAACAGCTGATAGAGGGAGGTCCCTGCCAGGTCTGCTGTGAAGCAGCTCTGTGTTTGCCCCGACAGGACAGGATAGGGTGGAGAAGAAAGACAGTAGTGGAGAGCACCCGCCACAGAGCCTTTGGCCTGACTGTCAGTGAGTCACGGAGGGGCAGGTGAATAAGAGGGCAGGTCTGGGCCCAGCCCAGGTGATGGCAGCACCAACCTCAGCAGCGTCTCTGTGTGGTCAGCGGAGAGCACAGAGGTCCCAGGTACCTTCCATCGTGAGAGAGAAGGAGCTCATATGGGGCTGAGGCTGCCAGGTAAGGAGAACTGGGGGTATCCCTGTGGCTGCCGAGGTGAGAAGGGACATGCAGAGTCATGACCAGAGCATGGGGGGGGGGGGGTCTGGTTGGCTTTGAGCAGATGGAGCTAAAGTCACTTCCTCCGAGGATGTCCAAGGCAGTAGCTGGGATGCGAAGGCCCCAGGCAGGACAGAAACCTACCAAAGCTGCCAGGCTTGGAAAGCCTTGGGCTGCAATATTCCATGTGGCCACAAGATGGCGATGGCACGCTGCGTCTGTCTCCATTCTGGAGAACTGTTTCAAAAATTGGTTGCATCTGTTGAAACTTTGTCTCATTTTTAAAAGTACACATGTAGAACATTTATGTGGAGTAAATAAAGTGAGTCTGTACGTAGGATAGTTTGCTTGTCCTGGGTCAGGGCCAGGCACTCAGCTGCACTTGAGCTAAGTATCACAGCTTGTCCTGTGCAGAGCCAGGCTGAGAGTCTCCTCTGGGATAGCCTTGTAACTCTGAGACCCTCTGGGCATCTCTCCCTATACACAACATCTGTGTTTCTGGAAAAAAATCTTGTGTAAATCCCATCATTATAAAGAATCTTGGGGCAGTCACTGTTTAAAGGAACAGTATAAATAGTTCTAAAGGTGACTCCCCTATTACTTGATCTCCTGTGTCAGTTCTCAGGCTGACCACCTTGGACTTGAAGAGGAGGCTTGCTGTGGGCGTCCAGTGCCCACCCCAGGTTAAATTCCCACCAGAGCATCCCAGCCCCCAATCCTCAGCACTGGGCCTGTTGACCCGAGCAAGGCCAAGCCAGGCCCAGCGCCAGGCAATGCTCCAGACAGGCCTCACCAGGGGTGACCCAAGGACACTGGGCCAGCCTGGAAGCTGCTGGGGTGGGAGTGGTGAGGGCTGGGCGATCTGGAGCACATCAAGAAAGCTGAGCCCAAAAAGAACCAGAACAAGGTCTGATGAGGGTTTGGAACCATTTGGGGTTCTCTAGGAAATGGATTAAACCAAAGTGGACCCGCTCCCAGGCTCACACCACCCCAGCCTCTCCTCCAGGGTCGAACCCTGACCACAGGAATTTATCCCTTGACTAGGAGTCCCCGGGATCAAAATGTGGAGCTTCCAAAACATTGTTTTTTTCCTTTGGCTATTTTCAGTGTCTGCCCAGAGCTGAGGCTCAGTATCATACATTTACTGTAGTTGAGAAATTAAGTTTCAGGATTCCAATTTCATAATACAAACCATTGCCCGTTTTTCTCCTTTCTGTAAATCTACCATTCTGAAAAGGGTGTTGACTTAATTTGACAACTAACAGTAATTCAGGTCTGCTTTGTAAATATCCTTATGTCTCCTGCCAAATCCCACAAAAGCTCGTTGCCTTTTTTGTGGGATTGGAACAAGAAAAAGCTGCACAGAGAAAACATTTCTGTGTATGTTGCACATCTTGTTATTGCTTAATGGCTCTTGAGTTTTTTGATGTCCTTGTAAGGATTAATACAGAAAATAAGGCAATCCTCCTTGAAAAACGGGTAAGTTTTCTTTGTCAGATAAGAGAGTTATGTAACCCAACATGTTTTCGCTTTTTGCCTTGGCTTCCAGGAAGCTCAGAGTTAAATGTAATGATCAGTCTTATCATTGTCAGTCCTGATGACCTCCCGTTCTTTTACCATTGTCTTTTCAATCTTCTTGTTTTATTATTTTGTGTGTTGGTGTGTGTTTTCTAGTTCTAAACTCCAGTTCTCTTATGAAAGCTGGAAAGTCTGCTTCTGGGACTTATCCAATGGAAAGTTATCAATAAAAAATGATCCCCAAAGCTGGAGTTCATGTGGGACTCCTTAAAATTTGAGGGTGGGTTGAAATGATTCAAGGATATTGTGCAGAGGTTGACAGCAACTGCCTACAAAGCAGGGTGAGAAAACCTGTTCTACCTCTTCGTCCCAGCTCAAGCCTGGGCTGAGGTGTTGCCACGCTGTCTCCTGTATGGCAGGAGAGACGTCACCGTTCACCTTGAGAGAGTGTTGTTTTTATTTGGTTTATGAGACAACAGGCTTGAGAACAGCTCCGGCAAAATATGGTTGTTACGTAGGTAGCCGTGGCCGCAGAACACCCAGATCTAGATTCCTGTGTGGATTCTGCCACTGACTTGAGAAAGTCACTGAACTTCTCTGGGCTTTAAATGGCCTCTTCATCAGGAAGGTTGGGGGCGGGGCCGGGGGGATGGCAGGTGAGAAGGGTGACGTGGAATTAGGTATTTATCCAGCCTCTAAATGAGGGATGGTTTTTACATTTAAAAACCAGGGAAGTTACAAAGGAAGAAATGTTACAAAGGAAGTATATAAAAATGTCAACGTTTGTATGTTAGAAAAAAAATACAACTACTAGCAGAAAAAAAGGACAAAGGAACAATTTTAATAATAATCAAAGAAATGCATAATAAGCCAATAACACAGATCCACTTATTTTAATCAAAGAAATAAGAAAAACAATTTCTTTTAATGCACAGTGCTGGCAGCAACTGAAACTGACTTTCTCAACAGTGCTCACAGGGGAAATTAATCTGGCCCTTTTAGAAAGCCATTTGGAGAGCTGTGTGGAGAGTTTTCAGAGTGTTTGTAACTTTGGCCCAGAAATTGTACTTCTGGTGCTCTGTGCTATGAAAATAACCCACAGAATGGGAGAAACTCCTTGCAGAGCGATGTTCGTGATGAGACTGTATTCTTTAAAATGGAATCAATATAAATATCTGATAGCACAGGTAACAGGAAATGGAATCTGACATCTTTTTTAAATTAGTGCTTCTGATGACTATAGAACGTGGCAAACAGTTGGTAAAGGAAGATATACAATAGTATGTACACAATAATTACTGCCATTTATATGTCTGAGATGGTAGTTTTATTTTTATATATGAGAATTGAAGAGAATTCAAGAAAATGCAACAGCGGCTGTGCTAGCAAGAAAACGTTTTCTCCTCTTTCTGGAACCTCTGTTTTTCAAAATCGTGATGTCCTGTTACTTTTTTATGATGAAAAAAGGCATAGCTTTCTTTTTGTTTTTTGTGGTATGCGGGCCTCTCACTGTTGTGGCCTCTCCCGTTGCGGAGCACAGGCTCCGGACGCGCAGGCTCAGCGGCCATGGCTCACGGGCCCAGCCGCTCCGCGGCATGTGGGATCTTCCCGGACCGGGGCACGAACCCGTGTTCCCTGCATCGGCAGGCGGACGGACTGTCAACCGCTGCGCCACCAGGGAAGCCCAAGGCATAGCTTTTTACTTTAAAGGAACATAAAAGAAAACAAAGCGATGCGTTAGATGTGTGCTTCCCAGGTTTTTTAAATTCAGAGCAGTGAAATTAAGGAAAAAAACAGGGATGGGGGTCCAAGAGAAGATGACTATATTTTAAATTTTGCCAGGTTAAGGACATCTAAAAATAATATCTCCTATCAATGTAATTTAATAATTAATAATGTAATAAAGGAAAGGCCATTTTATTTTCATTTTTATTTTTTAAATTTTATTGGAGGAAAGGCCATTTTTAAAACCAAAAAGTAGGACGGACAAATTTTGCTATCATGTCCTTATTTCCTCCTTTGGCTGAGGACCTGTGGACCCCCTGATGGCCGGCTCTGGCTCTTGGGTCAGATTTGGGGCCCTTCACCCTAGATGAACCAGGCCCCGGCTCTGATCCCCCAGCTACAGCTGCCCTAAAGGCTGCCCCCGGGCCTCAGGGGCAGTGGCCCCCACCCAGCAGCAGCTGAGGTCTTGGTGCCATTTCCGGAATTTCAGAGGGCAGTGCTGGTTCTTCATTGGAAACTTCAGTTGGCAGTTATCTATACCTGTGATTAATAGAAACTAAGGCCCACTGGTTCCAAATACAGCACTCCTGATGGAGGACACCCGGCGAGGATGTGATCCCTGCTCTGGCAGACAAAACGCAGAGTTTCTCAGCTCCCCTTCTCTGCACCATGGTTGTCTGTCTATGAAATGCACAGACAAATTGGGTAAAAATCATTCCCCCCTGGAATGTGGATAGCCCCACACCCTTTCCCTGGTGCCCGGAGAAGGAGAAGCCTCGCAGAGATACAGTGGGATCTCTACCATCTGGACAACACCTGCCCAGGAAAAGTTAGGGAAGGTCACCTGGGAACATCGCCCTGTTCCCTCTGAGCGCCTGGTGGTTTGTGGATGAAGGGGAGCCGATGGTGAAGGGCAGGCACTTACCCTGCCTTCCAGGAGGCCAAGGCCTCCCATGGAAGGGAGTCCAGATTTATCTTCTCCATAAAACCACCTGTGTCCTCCCCATGAAGTCTGTGATTCTTGAACCTAGCCATGCCTCTGAACCAGGCACCAGGGGTGCTCTTCATAAGCACAAAGACTGAGATTCTAAGGTCAGGGGTGATGTCTGGCATTTAAAAATATGTCTGCGGGTGATTCCAGTACCTAACAGACTTGAGGACAGCCACCTAAAGGTCTCGGTGAATGTTCACAGGGGTCTGGTAGGTGTTATGAATGAGGCCACAGTTGGGACTTTTATTTATTCATTTAATAATGTAACAGTACATTTTGCTCCATCCCAACCTGGTGGACACTCGCCTCCGAGTTTTAGGCCTCCAAGGTGCTCTCTGAGGGGGCCTCCATAACGCAATCCTCATGTAAAGGGAAGAGCTGCCTCCTGATGGATCCGTTTTGTAAACCCAGTGCTGTAAGGTGCGGTCCACCTCCAGCCACTCACAGCTCTGGAACGCTTCCCGGGAGGTGTGAGTGAGCCCTGTCCTCCTCTCCCCGGCCTGCAGCCAGACATGTTTGTGCGGGGCAGGTGCATCTGAGTGTGGTGTGTCACTCATCCTGTTTTCTGGCTATCAAAGGTGCAGATAATTAATAAGAAGCTGGATCTTAGCAACGTCCAGTCCAAGTGTGGCTCAAAGGATAATATCAAACACGTGCCAGGAGGCGGCAGTGTGAGTACTGTCACACTATCCCTGCGCCGAGCTGCGGTTCCGGGTTTGAGAAGTGGCATGAGTTTGTACTTGCATATTGCATAGAATAAACCATTCTCAGGCTCGGAGTCTATCCGGGTCCCCAGGTAAATGTAGCTCAGGCTCCCCACACCCGTGCCTACCGTTGCGGGAGGGGCGCCCCAGAGCTGCATGGGTGGAACGGGGAAGGTGACTGGTCCTCTCTCCGACCTGTTCCTGGTGGCTGGGTCCTCACAGCATAAGCCCCATCTTCGCCCCCCGCTCACTGGGAGCCCCACAGCTCGTTTGAGTTTGGGCTGAAGGTGGCAGCACCTGACTGCTCCGTCACCTGGTCAGGTTCACTTTAAGGGGCTCCACTGGGGACAGCTGGCCCGCTTGTTCTGACGAGCCGACACAAAGGTCTTTACCATCCTAGGTCAGAGCAAGCAGAGGCCAGGCTCTGCTCGCCTTTGACTTCTGCATTTGCGAGGGATGAGCTGATTCTTAAGCCTCTCGGCTCCTGTTTGAAAACAGCTCCACCCCCGGCAGAAGCTCCAGATGCGAAAGAGCCCAACAGAAATGCACCAGGGACCTGCCCGCAGCCGAGGGCGGACAGAAACGCTGCTTTGAGCCCTTTTAGATTTGGCCTCCTCCAGGTGTCCCTGCGGACTCCCTGCATCCCCAGCGGATGTGTCCCTGAGATTTGGGCCTGGCATCCTCATTCTCGCCTGCCCACTTGGCCAGCTCTGCTGTTATCCTCCAAGTTCACAGACAAATGGGTGCAAACTCGGCATCCTGAGGCTCAGCCCCCCTTCTCCGCAGCCTCCCTCACTCACCCAGCCTTCTTGGTCAGCTGTAGGCAAATGTTTATAAACACGTCGGGGAACGGGATGTTCGAGACCCTTTGAGGTCCACCCGTGGGGAGGAGGATGGTTTCTGAGAGCAGGCATCTGGCCTCTGGCTGGCAGTGCTGGGGTGACAGTGGGAGAGACCTCCCTCTCTCTCCAGAAAGTGCCCAGCCTGGGCCCGCATATCTGCGTCCAGACCTGGGGGTTTATTCTTGCAATGCGCTGCTGCCTCGTGCCCTGAGCGCCGGGTCCTGGCTCTGCCACTGACGAGGCTGCTGCATGGCGCTTCACTCACGCTTCCTCACCAGTGTCTGCTCAGTATCTCCGCTGTGCCCCCGGTCCCTGCTCTCCTGTCCCACTGCCACCTCGTCTTCCGCCAAGAGAAGGGCTGGGGACCACCCCAGGCTGTGATCGTGGGCTCCCAGTGACGTTGCTGTTTTAGCTTTGACTCGGGCTCTCTGGCTTCCCTGCAGATGGCAGGCTCTGGCCAGAGAAGGAAAGACATGTGCTTTCCGGTTTAACTCACGTCTGGTGTGTCTGGTCAGCTGGTGGGAGCTTGTGCTGCTGGGGCCGAGGGGTGGGGTCCGGTGGCTGCAGTCAGCGACCCGCTCCTTCAGGCGGAAGGTGGGGGCAGGGGGTACATTCCCTCTGCGGCTGGCGGTGCCCAGGACATCAAGGGACTTCCTCAGGGGCACCTCCCCTCCCCCCTGCACTCTGCCAGCTGGTGGCCTAGCCTGTGACCACGGCAGCGTGCCACAGGATGTCCCGGGCTGGCCCCGAGCGCTGTCCGTGGCCTGTGGCCCCTGCAGTAGGAGCCGCCACAGAGAGCTCTTCTCCTGGTGAAAGGTTGGGGGGTGACAAGCCCCAGCACAATGTCAGCCTCAGGCGTTTTGGGGACAGTGGACCCTTGGCCTGGGCTCTGCCTCTGTTTGCTCCCTGCCCCTCTTCTCCTCAGCTGGGAGGTGACTCCCCAGCAGGCAGGCTCTGTTCCTTCTCCTAGGGATTCTCCCTGCCTCCTGGCCGGCTCCGGGATGCACTCCAGAGCCTGGCCTCCTCCCTCCCCCTCCCTGGCCTCCAGTCTGCCTGACCCCCTCTCCCTCCCCTCCCCCATTCCTTTCCCCTCCTCTCCCTTCTCTCCATTCCTTTCCCCTCCCCTCCCTTCTCCCTCCCCATTCCTTTCCCTTCCCCCATTCCTTTCCCCTCCCCATTCCTTCCCCCTCCCCCATTCCTTTCCCCTCCCCCATTCCTTTCCCCTCCCTTCTCCTCCCCATTCCTTCCCCCTCCCCCTTTCCTTTCCCCTCCTCTCCCTTCCCCCATTCCTTCCCTCCCCATTCCTTCCCCCTCCCCCATTCCTTTCCCCTCCCTTTTCCCTCCCCATTCCTTTCCCTCCCCATTCCTTCCCCTCCCCCATTCCTTTCCCCTCCCCTCCCTTTTCCCTCCCCATTCCTTTCCCTCCCCATTCCTTCCCCTCCCCTCCCTTCCCCCTCCCCATTCCTTTCCCCTCCCTGCCAATCCAGGCTCTCCCTTTTTCACAGCTCCACCCTCCCTTCTCCCCCACTGGTTACTGCATCCAGGCTGAAGGGAAGAGAAGGAAGCCTGTACACACCAGCCTTCACTTTCATCTCCCTCATAAAGGGAAGGAGGGGGGAGTTCCCATAGCCCTGCCCCACCCCACCCCCGAGGGCCCATCATGCTCAGAGTTCATGTTAACTCACCAACGCCCACAGGTGCGGGCTTTCCACACCTCCCTCCATGCACCCACGCACCCACGCACACAGGCCACGTCCACCTGTCAGCCTGAATCAACTCCATCAGTAATCGGCAGACGCCAGCATGATTTTGATTAGCGTAACTTGGGATTGTTCCAGATGATTTAGACCTAAGTAAAAACTCCTTTTTTTCTGATGTCCTTGTTAACCCTGTTCTCAGGCACGAGGCCGTCTCTCTCCTGGGTGACTCCAGGGCAGGGAGCAGGGGCCGACTGGCTCCACGGCAATGGGCCTCCTGTACCCTCAGGTGACCTCACATGAGGGAAGTGTCACCCAGGGACCATCAGGGACCCCTCACAGCCATGGCTTTGTAGAGACTTCCTCTAGGAGACCCCTCTGCTAATGCTGGGTCCCCGTGGGTTTCTCCTCCGGGGCGCTGAGATCAGCAGGCGGCTGGCAGGGGGGCCGTGGCTGTGTGGCCTGGCCACGTGCTGGACCCTCAGGCTGGCTCTGAGCCCTGAGGCCCTTAGGCCTCCCCTATGTGTGTCTGCTGAACCTGCCTAAGACACTAAACTTGTGATTTCTGCTGTGCCACCTGCCCATCCTGCTGGTGTTGCTTTGCTCCTTTCTGTAAAGAACCAAAATGTCCAGGACACTGTGTGCCCTGGGGCAGGGTGTGGGGGGGGTTGTGGGGGACAGCTGGTGCTTAACTCTTACTGGGTTGTGGGACTGCTCTGGGGCCCTCTCGTTGGCCATCACTGCTCTGTTGTGGGCTGCTGGGTTTGTGAAGCTTCTCCTGGGAGGAATGCTGCTAACAACCCCACACCGCCCTCTGCTCTCAGAGGCCCAGCAGATATGGCTCTCTTGCTTTCCCAAGATTTTTCAAATGCTGCACAAACAGATCATATTGATCCCTTCTTTCTTTCTGTTTTCACTGAACGTGATCTGTGGATTTCATGTCAGGAAAGAGAATAACTTTATCTCGTGTGTAAGTGTTTGCTAAACCAAAGGTGTAGGCCCTGCACAGTGGGGAAGTAGCCCTGTTTTTCCCTGAGGGTCCTTGTCCTGTGGAATCGAAGCCCACTCCATTCATTTTGTGAAGACCCAGCTCCCCTGGGGCAAGGTTGGCAGAATTCCAACACATTTTCCCGCCACGACTAGGGTGTTTTCCTCGTGGCAGACAGGAAAACACCGAGCAGGGCCTGGACTTAGCTGCTTTTCATTGCGTTACGCCCCCAATAAAATAATCCTATTTTACTGTCCCTCTCATTCTCTCTCCTGCAGGTGCAAATAGTCTACAAACCAGTGGATCTGAGCAAGGTGACCTCCAAGTGTGGCTCATTAGGCAACATCCATCATAAGCCAGGTAGCCAGCCCTTGCAGAAGGCAAGGACGGGGCGGGGAGGCCTGAGGGGTGGGACAGGATGGGGTGGTACCTTCTCCGGAAGTGGTTGGGAAGGACTGATGGGATGGGCCATCAAGGAGAGTGTTAAGGGTGGGACTTGCTGCGGCCGGGGAGGCGTGGCTTAGTGTGCGGTTCCTGAGCAGGGCCAGGCTGGCCAAGACGAGATAAGGAGGGAGGACAGATTATGGTCTGAATCCTAACCCGCAGTTCTCCAAGCAGGCTGCGCACGGGGCATGCAGAGCTGGGAAAGGGCCTGATCCGGCCCCCAAAGCCTGGCTAACGTGGATGTCCCAGTTTGGTCCTCAGCCAGCGTGAGGAGCATTTCACCAGTTGCCCCAGCTACAACATGGGACGCTGGGCTGTTGCCACGCTCCCACTGTCACTTCATTTCAGCGGAACATGATGCTGTTGGAAGTCCCCATGCTAACCCTTTCCCTCTTCATCTCATGCCGTATAGAGATCAGTGCTATCTATAGATCTTTCTGAGACAGTGGAAATGTTCTATACCTGTGCTGTTCAGTATGGTAGCCACTAATGACATGTGACTGTTGAGCGTTTGAAATGTGGCTGGTGTAGCTGAGGAACTGAACGAATTTTATTTAATTAAATTTGGGGAATTCCCTGGCAGTCCAGTGGTTAGGCCTTGGCGCGTTCACTGCCGGGCGGGCCTGGGTCGGATCCCTGGTCGGGGAACTAAGATCCCACAAGCCGCACCGGCGTGGCCAAAAAGATAAAATTCAATTAAAATTTTAAAATAAATAAATACAACTTAAGTAGATACAGGTGGCTAGTGGCTACCATCTTGGAGAGCTAACTTCCACCTGAAAGGCCAGAGCAGGGCCTTCTGCTTTAGGCCCTGTTCAGGGCTGAGGTCGTTGCTTGAACTGTGACTGCAGGAAGAGAAGGTTGTCAGAAACGTAGTCTAGAAGGTGTGTCATTACTTCCTGCCTCCCTTGGACATCTTGTGGGAGTTCAGTCTCTCCCAGTGAAAACTATGCCTCTCCTGAGGCTACCATCCTACCACACAGAGAGCAGCTTTTTTTTTTTTTTTAAATAAAGTATGGATATCTTTTTAAAAATTATTTATTTTTGGCTGTGTTGGACCTTTGTTGCTGTGCACGGGCTTTCTCTAGTTGCGGCGAGCAGGGGCTACTCTTCGTCGTGGTGCGCGGCCTTCTCATTGCGGTGGCTTCTCTTATTGCGGAGCACAGGCTCTAGAGCGCAGGCTCAGTAGTTGTGGCGCACGGGCTTAGTTGCTCCGCGGCATGCGGGATCTTCGCGGATCGGGGCTCGAACCCATGTCCCCTGCCTTGGCAGGCAGATTCTTAACCTCTATGCCACCAGGGAAGTCCCAAGGGAGCAGGTTTCTTAAGTGGCTTTATCCTTCCAAAGAAAGTAATGTAGTTCGTCTCTTCCTCAGGCCATATCTCCCACACTTGGGCATGGCATCAAGTGTCTGAGGAGGGAGAAAGGGTCAGGGCCCTTCCTTATTAAGGATGCATTTTGCCATTTAGTTTAATTCTGAGGTCTTATAGGGCTGTAGCTTATAGGATGTTGGCATAGAAAGACTTGACTCTTTGGAAGCCAACTAATTTAGAATAATTTCTTGCGAACTGAGCTGTCATCTACCTTTGCATCATCTGAGGAGGAAGAGTTTGCTGAGTAAATATTTGATGTGCACCCTGATTAGAGAGAGAAAGCAAACTGCTTTCAAGCCCTTTGGAAGGACCTACTTGCTCCAAACCACGCTCTAAATAAAAGCTGGTCTTAGCTCCCCCTCAAGGTTGGCGTCTGCATGGAATCACTCACTTGCTTAGCCCTCACTCAAGGCTTGGTGCCCTTGTGTGTATTGTGTTCCAGGAGGTGGCCAGGTGGAAGTAAAGTCTGAGAAGCTGGACTTCAAGGAGAGAGTCCAGTCCAAGATCGGGTCCCTGGATAACATCACCCACGTCCCTGGCGGAGGGCATAAAAAGGTAAAGGGGCAGGGCGGGGAGGAGGCTATACCAGAGTCAGGCGGACAAGGCTGGTCCAGTTTCCCACGGCAGGAGAGCTGAGGGTCCTGTATTGACTGGCTTGACATGGATTCTCAGCTACCACCAGGCCTGCGGGGCTCCACCTGGGCTGCCCTTTGATGTCCCCTGGGAGCTTTAACACACTTGATGCCAGGCCCCACCCTGGAGATCCTAATTGGTCTCAGGTGCCATCTGGGCACCTGGAGTGGAGCTTTTAAAGCCCCCAGGTGACTCTTTAGTGCAGTTAAAGGTGAGAGCCATTGCTCTAGGCCCTGTGGTGGGCAAGCATCCCCAGAAGGAAGTAGCCATCACCAAAGCCAGCCACGGGAATGTAACCTAACTTTCTAAATGGGTCACTAGGCAGTTAGAGGAAATCAGTGATGCTGGAATCCAGATTTCAGCAAAGCCTCTGTAAGTGTCCACGGGGAGGCTGCTAGACCAGGGACCTCAGCGTTCCCTGCAGTTTCTAGAGGCCCTGGGCCTGGCTCTGAGTGTCTGTGTGCAGTGGGGGCCGGGGCACACCAGTGTCTCCCTCTGGGCCCATTGCAGAATGCCGTCTTGTGGCTGCACTTTCTCTCTTCTGCATAAATACAGCAAAGTGCCCTCTGGGGTTTCCTGCCCACGCCTGCCCTGAAGTTCTGCAAGTGGCTCACTTTCCAGTCTTCAGTGCCTCTCAGCAGCTGACTGAGGAGTGGTGAAGGGAGAAGGGATGTCCGAGAACGGGTGTGGCAACTGAAACCCAACGCAGCAGTGAGCAGCGGTGCAGCCCAAGGGGGCCCCGCTGGTCAAAAGTGGCAGCCGGGCCTTGCTTGGAGGCCGCCAGGGTCCCCACGGCAGTAACCACCTCCTCCTCTGGTTCTGAACAGACACACCCCACCTTTGCAGTGAAAGCCCGACAGCATAGTTTTGCAGAAGTCTTTGCTGGTGTGTTCTTAAATCACAGGTTGCAAACTGAGACCTCGGGGCCGACCTGACCCGTGATGGAGGCGCCCGAAGGCGGGGGGAGGACGGAGTCCTGGCTCCCCACAGGGTTCCCTGACCATCAGGCTTCCACATACTGGGCTTCCCCAGGTGCAGGACTACTTCTCAGTGCCGCCTGGGTCTCTATTAAAAGTGAGACCCAGGGAAATGAGAAGGTTTTCTGCAAAAGGCCGTCTTGTTTCCATCGCAGCCCCCAGCCTGTTTAATACAGGGCGTCCCTGCCCTGGGGAGCTTTAAAGAGACCACGTCCCACCCCCAGAGAGTCTGAATATATTGTATATGGAATGAGTCTGGGTAGGCCTGGGCGTTGGTGATTCCCAGTTGAAGGAAGGCCTCTACCCCTGACTCTGGAAGCTTCTGTGTCCTGGGAAAAGCTCTGGGCTTGACTGCTTGGAGGCGTGACCCAGGCAAGATCTGCAAGCCATCTCAGCGTCAGGTTCCCCTTCAGCAAAGCGGATGGAAACATTCCCGTCCCAGGGTGGTTGTGAGGCCCGGATGAGGCGGTGTTCAAGAGGATGCCTGGAGCTTTGTCGTCATCAAAGAACATGAGTTAGAGCCAAATCCGAGTCAGAACTTCTCCTGTTTTAACTCATCTCTGTGATGCCTCAGAAAGGGTGGGCTCTGCCCTGCCCACTGCCCAGGAGACAGACCTGGTCCCAGAGGGTCCTCTTGTGTTCAGTCCCCTATTTCCCTCTGTGATGAGCAGAACTGCTGACAAGCAGTGGAGCATAGGACCCCTGCCACCTGAGTTCCTTTCAGTTTGGGGGATTTGGGGACATTCCCAGGATGCTGTCCCATTTTTCTTAAGAACATAAGTGTTCTTATCAAAGCTTATGTCAAAATGGCCTTTCAGTTGTAGTAATAAGGAAGAGTCCTTTTTTCAAAGTAGTAACCCAACGTGAACAAAACAAGCATATGGCTTAAATGGGAGCCTGGTTTTTCTCTACACTCAAATGCCCCTGCAATAGGCCCTCTTTACCTGGGGTCCAGGGACTCCTGAAATTGTAGGGAAAAGTTGTCATATGCGTATGAGAGCAGACACGCGTGTGTACACATTTTCCTGGTCTCACCAGATGCTCAAGGAGGTCTTAGGACCCAAAACAGGCTGAGAATTACTGTGTTTACCACTTCAGGACTCATCAGGAGAGAATTACTATGTACTACTGGCATCGCCAGCTAATGCTTTCTGCTTCTGAGCTTCCCAGGTATCCTTTGGAGCCGAGACCTCTGGGTCAAGGATGCTCTACTTTAATTTTTGTTTATTTTTAAATTGAAGTATAGTTGATTTACAGTATCGTGTTAGTTTCAGGTGTACCGTACAATGATTCAGTTATACATACATACATATATATATTGTTTCTCAGATTCTTTTCTCTTACAGGTTATTGCAAAATATTGAGTATAGTTCCCTGTGCTATACAATAGGTCCTTGATGGTTATCTATTTTATATATAGTAGTTTGTACGTGTTATTCCCAACCTCCTAATTTATCCTCCCCTCCCCTTTCCCCTTCGGTAACCAGAAGTTTGTTATCTGTCTGTGAGTCTCTGTTTTTGAAATAAGTGCTTTTCTTTAATTTTTTAAATTGAAGTATAGTTCATTTACCGCATTGTGCCAATCTCTGCTGTATAGCAGTGACTCAGTTATACATTCTTTTTTAATATTCTTTTCCATTTTGGTTTATCACAGAATATGGAGTATAGTTCCCTGTGCTGTACAGTAGAACCTTGTTGTTTATCCATCCTGTATATAATAGTTTACATCTGCCAATCCCACACTCCCAGTCCTTCCCTCCCCGACCCCCCTCTCCCTTGGCAACCAGGAGTCTGTTCTCTATGTCCGTGAGTCTGTTTCTGTTTTGTAGATAGGTTCATGTGTGCCGTATTCTAGACTCCACTTATCACACGAGTGATGTCATACGGTGTTTGTCCCTCTTTCTGACTTACTTCACTTAGTATGATCATCTCCAGTTGCACCCGTGTTGCTGCAATGGCGTTATTTCGCTTTTTTATGGCCGAGTAGTATTCCATTGTATACACACCACATCCTCTTTATCCGTTCCTCTGTCGATGGACATGTAGGTGGTTTCCACGTCTTGGCTATTGTGAATAGTGCTGCTCTGAACACAGGGGCGCATGTGTCTCTTTGAATTACAGTTTTGTCTGGGTAGGTGCCCAGGAGTGGGACTGCTGGATCATATGGCAGCTCTGTTGTACTTGCAGACTTTCTGATGATGGCTGTTCTGACTGGAGTGAGTGTTAACCTCATGTGGTTTCGACTTGCGTTTCTCTGCTCATCAGAGTGAGCATTTTTTCATGTGCCTGTTGGCCATCTGTACTTCGTCTTTGGAGAAATGTCTATATATGTCTTCTGCCTACTTTGTATTGGGTTGTTTTTCTGATGGAGCTGTACGGGCTGTTTGTGTGTTTGGGAGCGATGCCCTACTTTCAAAAGGGCTTTGTTGCATCGTGTTTTCTAGTATACCTGCCAGGGCTGCGCACAGCGGCTGCCACCTCCAGCGTCATCAGCCACTGGCAAAGGGGCGGCGTGTGTGTGGCTCACAGCTGGACGGCAGGGGCTCTGGCCCCACCCCTGAATCTCCTCCAGCCTCTCCTTCCACACTTTCATTTGCATTTGGGCAATGTGTGTACGTCAAAATAAAACGCGCACGCCTTTTGACCTACTAGCAATTCCACTTTCTGGGATACACTTACAGTACACGTGTGAAATGAGATGCCTACAAGGTTATTCGAACACAGCATTGTCTGTGAGAGCAAAAGACTGGGACAACCTAAATACCCACCCACAGGGGCGTGGATACGTTTTGGTTCATCTGCTGTGACAGGAAACCACACAGCCCTCAGCGAGCAGCGAGGGAGCTATGTACGGATGACGATGCAAGGTATTAAGTCTAAACACCCAAGTGCGAAGCTTGTGGATATCGCTGCCTTATGTATGGTACTTTTTTTCTCTACTCACACAGACGCATGTTTGCGTGTGTGGTGGCCTATCTCTGGAAGGGTACGCAAGAAACTCACAGGGGTCGCTGCCTCTGGAAAGGGGGCCTGGGAGGCTGGCTGGCAGGTGACCAGGACCCAGCAGAAGCTTAGCCGTTGGGAAACGATGAAACTGTGGTCCCCACCACGCCTCCCTCCCACCCAAGGCCAGCAGTTGGCGGGGCCTCTCCGCCTCACCCTGCCCTCTCCTCTCTTGCAGATTGAAACCCACAAGCTGACCTTCCGCGAGAACGCCAAAGCCAAGACCGACCACGGGGCGGAGATTGTGTACAAGTCGCCCGTGGTGTCGGGGGAAACGTCCCCACGGCACCTCAGCAACGTCTCCTCCACTGGCAGCATCGACATGGTGGACTCACCGCAGCTGGCCACGCTCGCCGACGAGGTGTCCGCCTCCCTGGCCAAGCAGGGTTTGTGATCAGGCCCCCGGGCGGTCAGTAATCGTGGAGAGACGAGAGTGAGAGAGTGTGGAAAAAAAAAGAATAATGATCTGGCCCTTCGCCCTCTGCCCTCCCCCAGCTGCTCCTCACAGATCGGGTAATCGGTTAATCAAGTAACCTGCTTGTCGCTCACCTCTGGCTCGGGACTTCCAAATCGGTCACGGGAACGAGAGCCAAGTTCATCTTTCCAAATTGACGGGCGGGCCAATCATAATAAAATACTTTAAAAACCTTTAAAAAGATGGCCCTACCCAGAATTTCCTTGGGCAGTTACTTTCGATTCTTTTTTTTTCCCCCCTCTGAGTGCAAGAGGGAGGAGGAGAGGCTCTGAAAGCTGCTTCTGGGGACTCTCAAGGGCCTGCGGGGGGGGGGGGGGGGGCCCCGTTCTGGGGGTGTCACAGAGGCAGCAGCGGCAACAAGGGATTCGACACTTGGTGCGCTGGTGGAACCACAGGTGTAGGGCCACCTTTGGAGCAGGACGGGGTGCGGGGGTGGGGGTGGGGGCTGGGCGGGGGTAGGGCGAGGTGAGAGGGGGGGTGTGGGGCGTGAGGATGCCGGAGGAGAAGCTCAGGGAGGAGATGCTGAGGACGGCCCGGAGGTGCAGCAGGCAGGGCACAGCCTCTGCCGCCCACAGCAAACTCGGACCAAGTGGCCTCCGGTTCTTGGTGGTCCGGGGTCTGCTGCGGGTCGGCGTGCCACCCTCTGGAGGGAGGAGGGCTTACACCACGAAGGGCCGGGGGCGGGAGGAGAAGGAAGGTTGCGGGAGTGGCATCCTGTGGATTACTTCCTCGGAGAAGACCGAGCGCTGGCCTCTTTCTCCCTCCCCGCAGGGTGGGGGTCCTGAGCTGAGGGGCTTCCCTCTGCCCCGCGGAAACCCTGTTTTATTGAGTTCTGAAGGTTGGAACTGCAGCCACGATTTTGGCACCTCACTGACCTGGGACTTTAGGGCTAACCGGTTCTTTGTAAGGACTTGTGCCTCTTGGGGGACATCCGCCTGTTCCCAAGCCTGGGCCTCTGGCATCTCTGGAGTGTACGGGGACCTGGGAGGTGGCTCCTGAACCTCTCATCCCTCCCACGGCCACCGCAGCCACCTGTCTGCCCCACCATGCCTGTGTCTGCCGTGCGGAGCCCAGTCACTGCCTGTACCCCGCATTACGTCACGCTGTCCCGAGTTCCCAGCCTCACCCCACCCCCCTTTCTCAGTAACGGACATTGTTTAGATGGGGAGGCACCTCCTCTAAACCAAGGGGGAAAGTCAAGGAGGGGAAAGTCCGGACACGGCGGGGGGACCTCAGTCTCTCAGTCTAAGTTGTACTCATCCAGCTGGCATGTCCCTCACAATGAACCTGATGACCTTACTCGGCTCCCTGCCCCTGCCCCCATCCCAGATGGGAGCCAGGGTGGGGTTCGCAGTGACCCTGGACGTTTATGCCTTGTTTACTTGGAGAGCCTTTTCTCCCAGAAGGCCTGGTTCCCTTCCTGTGCCGAGCTGGCAGCAGGTTGGCCGTCCTGGATGCCAGAGATGGCACGGGGACGGGCAGGCAAGGCCCCCAGGGCAGGACCACGCTCCCTCCATTCCTTACGTCTGCCCCAGCTTGTGACTGCCAGCCTCTCAAGAGAGCCCAGCCGCTGCTCAACCCCAAGAGCATATAATCAGCCCTCACCCCAAAAAGGGAAACATGCCCCCTCGGAAATGGTTCTTCCCCCGGTCTCAGCTGGAAGCAATGCTGTCTTGTCCTCCTGGAGCAGCTGAACATATACATAGATGTCGCCCCTCCCTCCCCATCTGCACCCTGTCGCGTTGTAGTCGGATTTGTCTGTTTATGCTTGGATTCACCAGAGTGACTATGATAGTGAAAAGAAAAAAAAAAAAAAAAAAAAAAAAAGGACGCATGTATCTTGAAATGCTTGTAAAGAGATTTCTAACCTACCCCCCACGGGAGTCCTAGATGTCTCTCACCCCCCAGCTGGGACTTGGATCCAGAAGGCCAGTGTGACTCTCTTCTGTGGGGCCTCCCAATTTTTGAAAGACTTTCATCAACATCTGGGACCCAGCGGAGACCAGATGCTGCCATCTGAGAACCCTCAGCTGCAAAGAAGGCCTGAAGCACAGGAGCAGGACAGAAGCTATGGTACCCCCTCCCCACCCCCGGGGCTCCCTTCTGTCAGGCAGGGGGGCAGTGTGTCTTGTGGTGAAGATGGCCCTGGAGAAGCCCCACAGCAGCCTTGAGAGAGGGTCGTACAACTAACTCCCTGCGTCACGAGTGCCGGCTGGGGAAAGGTCTGCAACCCACCCTCCAGCCCGGGGTCCCGCTCCAAGCTCTCCCGCAGGAAGGCTGGCCCAGGCCTCCCCACCCGGGGCCTGATGGCCACAGCAGGGGTTGGGATGCACTGCCTGCCCTGGACTGGCCCCAGGGGCCTGAGCCGCCTGACAAGGGTGACAGGTCAGGAGACAACCATTTCCAAATCCTTGGCCAGAGCCCCTGCTGACCTTGCATGAAACCCATCTCCTGCCATGGGGAAAGGGAAGCAGCCTTTGTAGAAATCTGCTGTTTGAAGAAAATCAGCAACCTCAGCTTGGTTCTGCCACTTCTGATTTGGGTACAGTTCAAGGCAACCGTACGGGGCTGGGTGGTTGGAGTCCAGGGCCAGACGCTTCATCTGCGGCCAGAGGATCACCTGGGCCCCAAACTTCCCGCAGTGCGGCTCTCCTTTGTCCGCTGGGTCCCAGCTGGTCTTGGAAGGGTTCTGAGGAAGAAAGAGGAAACTTGGTGTGAAAATCTGGTGGCTGTTAAGAGATGCAGCCCCTCATTACTGCCACCAATTCTGGCTGCATTTCTTGAACCTCTCCCTGCAGTTTCTGCACCCTGCCCTCCAGTTCCTTATTCCGAGGGCCTTACTCAGCGGGCACCTCGTGTTGCATGGGCTGTTGGGGGCAGCCTAAAGATCGTGGTTTAGGGTCATCAGGTCAGTGCTGGCAGGGAGCCTGCAGAGCGCAACGCTGGCTTGGAACCGTAAAAGAGGACACAGCCCCCAGGGCTGGGCACTCCCCCACCGCCATTTCTTCCAGGTCCGGTGTCCCTCGGGTGGGGCTAGATGGGATACACTACCCGCCTGGTTGCTTCAAGCTCTGCATTCACTTTATCAAAAGCTCCATTTCAACTGACTTCAGTGGTGAGACCGTATCCTGTTGTGCTCCTGGTGGGGCCGTGGGGGGAGAGGAACCTGTAGGAGAGTTACCACTGGGCAAAAAGGGGTCTTGGAGAGCAGGAGTCCAAGGCCTGGTAATACTTTTCTTCCTGATTTCAACCACGTGTGCTAGAGGTCCCTTGGGATTTCACCTTCTCACCGACAGGTGCCACAGGCTGCCAGCTAGTTCCCATCTCCTTCCCGGCCAGGTGCAGGCAGTGAGGCTTGTGGAGGAATCCGGAGATATGATTGCTGTGACCCGCTGCCCTTCTGCGGGGTTCCCAAGCCCGCAGTCATGCCTCCCGAACACGCTGGCATCCTTTCCTTTAAGCTGCTGGCACCTCCACGTCACCTTTCCCACCAGCTCCGGACACACAGCCTGTACTTCTAGTAGCTGCTAAGATCTCGTCACCCTTAAATCTCTGTCCTCCAAGGAAAGCAAAGAGGCAGGGATGAGGGCAGAGGTGGAGGTCATCAGCTTGTCCTGTCTACAGATCTGTGGCTTCAAGAGACTTCTGGTTTCTCTTCAGCTTTGAAAAGGGTTACCCTGGGCGCTGACCCAGAGTCTCACCTCCTAACGGACTTAGCCCCGTGAATTTGCAGTGTTGCGCAGGACAATTTCTGGCACTTGCAAGTCCCATGACTCCTTTGTTAATTTTGAGGGTGGGGGGAGGGACATGAAACCACCTTAGCTTAGCTTCCTGTCTGTGAATGTCCATATGGTGTATTGTGTGTTTTAACAAATGATTTACACTGTTGCTGTAAAAGTGAATTTGGAAAATAAAGTTATTACTCTGATTAAATAAGGTCTCCATGTATGGATTCAAAGGACCAGAAAATGATGTATGATTTGCAGGTCCTTTCCCAGCCTTAGAGAACTTAGCTCAGGAAATGACAATATTGTTAAAACCTGGACATCAGGATTTACCAGCTGGGTCTGGGGCCCTGAAGGTGAAAGAGCTCTCAGACTTGTTCATTTTCAGGTGATTCTCTCGTTCTGGTGCTGGCAAACCATCCTGGTCCAACTCAAAGGGCAATACCCTTGTGGGTGAGCTCACAAGGCTGCACTCAGTTTCTAAGACCCAGCCCACTGTATTCAAAGCTGAGAACACTGGGGTGGCTCTAGGAACCCTTTCTACCCCTGGAAATTAGCCTAGGGGCCTGGGGCTGAGGCAGGACACTAGGCCAGTCAGCTGAATGAACGGCTAGATGCCTTCCAGGATTACAGAGCTGCTTTCCTCTCTCCTTTGAGCCTTATTATAGATTGGAGAGTGTTTACTAGATCAAGATAGGGATACCAGGTAGCCCTTGGCAATGCTACAAAGGAAAACAGAACAGAACCCATCATATTATTGTTCCTTAATAATTAGGTCAAGGTCGTAACACTCAGGCCTTTGATTTTTCATACAGCTTCAAAATACTACTTTTCTCAGCTTTTCCTGATGTGCTTTAGCCACTGCAGGCAAAAGCTTAAGTAGAGCAGGTCTTAACTGCAACTATAGAAGCAGCAACAGGGCAGCCAAAGAGAAATGCTACCTCAGAACTCGTAGGTTTCATAGTCAGGAGAGGCAGCTGCATTGGCTGTGTCAACTTGACTGCTATGAAAAAAAAAAAAAAAAAAGGAAAAAAGGAAGTAAAGAGAGTCGCAGGCCTGCCCACTTATTCATCTTGTACAAAGAAAACCAAGCATAGCCTTCTCAGAAGAAAGCTGCTGAGAACCAGCTCAGGTTCCATGCAAAGTATATACATGTCTGCAGTGACCTCAACCCCAGAAAAGGAGGATGATGGAAAGTGAAATATCCATTAAAGAGCAATTCAGAATAGATAAAAAAATGTCACAATGCTGGCCGGCCTCACTAGAAGAAGGAACATTAAGAGCAGTGGATCAGTTACTTACATCCAACAACAACAACAAAAAGACGATTTACGAAGACGCCCTTCCTCCTGGCGTCTCTCACCCCCGCCCCGGTGAGAACCACTCTCTCTGGTGACCATCAGAGGACCCTGCCCGGTGCCCAGAAGACAGTGGGGACTTCCCAAGGTTCACAGCCAGTCGGAGGACCCAGAGAACAACTGCTTCTCAGGGAGGCTCCTCAGCCACCACCAGTACCATGTCCTGTAACAAGAAGGGCCTGGCATACAACATTCTGTAACTTTTTTTATTATTTTTTTCAATTTTTCCTTCCTTTTTTTTTAAGCACTAGTCTGTGCTTTGCGAACAGAATCAAGACATTAACAAAGATCAGCTTCTCTGAAGAAAAGCATTTCTATAGAACAAAGACAGCTACATGTTCCGCTGCCAATACACAGCTCAAAGCAGGAAAAGAAAATATTTACAAAATACAAGGTTTTTTTTGTTCTTTTTTCTTTTTTCTTTTTTTTTTTACAATGCTAAAAGGGTTATTCAGAATTTTCAACCTTATAAATAGAAGAAGCACTTTATGCATAGGGATATGGTGCATTATTGTTTTTAAAGAAACAATGACAAACCCTTTAACTTGCAAACAGAATCAAAAAAAAAATCACTAATGTTGAAAATTGTGAAAAAACCCCAACCATTAAGCAGTTTGTCTACTATTTTTATACGATTACAAAATGGCAAAAAAAAAAGTCCTTATTGCCCCCCTTTTTGGTGATGTGATCATAGATGAGACAGGCACAAGGTTAACCCGGGGGGGTGATGGGGAGTGATGGGAACCACAGCTAGGACCAGACAGTGTTCCACAGGCAAGGGAGCTCGAAAGAGGAAGGACCTGACAGACACTGACAGGGAACTGGACGGGGGTGGGGAAATATGACCAAATGACTCAGTGAAAACAGAATTATACAGGAGAGATGGCTGCTCATTTCCAAGACCCCCTAGAGTCTGCAGGGGAGTGGGAAGAGAGGTTAAGTAGTCCTAACCCTACCTCCACAGACCAGGTTGGGGGGGGAAACGTTCCAAGTGGAAAGACTGTGTGCGTGGGTGTGCGAATGGTGTGCGAGAGCAGGTGAGAGGACACGAAGGGGCAGGACGGGGACCTGAACAGCCGCAGCCAGCTTACCTCAGTTAAGGAGTCAGAACAGGGATGACCGAATGCAGAGGAAACCCAGAACAGGTCTCCAAGACCTGGGTGACAAGGGGAAGCCATTCTGTCAGCTGAGAGCTGGGTGAGAACAGCTGGAGTTCAGGCCAAGAGGTTCTGGTGGAGGTGCTCCAGCACAGACGACCAAGGGGACCCAGCCGGGAGGGCCGGAGCTGAGCTAAGCAACAGAAGGGACGGGGTACGAGCCCAGAGCACACTGCTCTCTCCCACCCTAACCTCAGGGGGCAATGCTGAGCTGGAGGTTCCTTTCCCTCTGCCCACCTGGCTGTCCCACCCTGCCCACAGGGGCGCGAGAGAGGGGTGATCATCCAACATTGCTAAGTCCAGTGATTCAACAGTGCAGAGGATGTGCCAGGACCAGGCCAGCAGGGTCTTATCCTGAACTGTTTGCCAACTGGAGGAAGTGCTCAGGTGTGTGACGATAAAACATGGAAACCAAAACATAAACAAAACAAAAATCAAAACAAGAAAGAAATTATCAAAGTAGAATCTAAATTCCTTAAATTCACTAAAAACTGTGAAAATTTTCGGCATATGATGTTTGAATATCAAACGCAGAGTTTTCTGAAGCTTTAATGCCAATAGTGAGTCTGTTTAGATTCTCATATCCCACTCATCTGTGAGTTGGACGCTGAGCTGTGACTGTTGCCGCCAGATGCCGACTCTTGAGGGGAAGGATGGGAGGCGAGGTGGGTGCCACCTCTGTCTCCCGGCCAGTCTTGCTGCCTGAGGTGCGCCGAGTGCAGCGGGACGCCCGTTCCTGTGCATCCGGTTGGTCCTCACTCTCTGCCTGGGGACTGTACGCCAGGGGGAAGCTTCGCCGCTCCCATGGCTGGACAGACTGCGGGCAGATAAGATGTCTTGGTGAGGACCCAGTCCCAGCCCGCCTCCTTCCCCAGACATGTGGACTGGAGACCATGACCAGTCTCTCTAGAGTTCCTGGGCTGGCCCAGAGAAAATTATCAGAGTGGGCAACTTTTTAATGATAGCCAGTTCCATGGTACCTTCAGAAAGTCAACTTCAAGTTCAGTCCCCTGTCCCCTTCAAATTGGGGGGGAGGGGGGGGGATCCATAAAATGAAGATAAATCTTGAGCAGGTGCTGTCCCCCAACAATCCCATCCGCCACCCCGCTAATCCCACAGAAAGGAAGCGTTCCTCACCTGCTCGTCGAGCCCCAGCTCTGGTGTGGAACAACGGGTGTCTTCACTGGCCAGGTGTCGGAGAGTGTCCCGCGCCACGGGAGTGAGGGGGGCCGAGTGCAGTTCTGGGCTAATGGGGCTCCTGGGGGACTGCCCATGGGAGAACTCGGACAAAGAGTGGCTACTGCTGACATCAGGGGAGGCGGGTTGAGGGGTGGAGGGGTTGGCACTGCCCAGCTGCGGCGTCGTCCGGCCGTCTGATGACCTGTAAGACCTGTATACCAAGAAGCACAAATCTGAGTGCCTGGGTAATAGGGAATTTCTTATGTGTCTGTTTTTTGGGTTGGGGAGGAGGCATGAAAAAAGCTTCCCGACCAGAGGAGCTGAGGCAGACTGACACCAGCAGTTCTCTCCTAGGAACCACAGACCCCTCACTTTCTTCCACTGCTGTGCACACGGGCAGGCACACAACACGGCATCTAAGAGCTGTGTACGCCTGTCATCCCAAGAAAAGGCCACGGCCGAACAACGCTGGGGGTATCCCTGGCTCAGTGCCCAGTGGATTCACAGGGGAAGGGGAATTAGCCCAGACTTTGAAAACTGCAGGCAAAGAAAAAAGCAAAAACAAGAGCCCTAAATATTTCTACTTGAGAATCCTGAGGGCTTCTCACTGTAACACGAAAGGGAGAGAGGGTAGGACAGTTCTTCCAAGTAAAGCAAGACCACAAAAATCAAACTCCACTGTTCAAAGGAAGGTTAACTTGTGGTGAGGCCTCCAAAGCTCCCCTAATCCAATCACTACAACCCCCAACCAGCCTCCAAATGCCATAGACAGCCTACTCCTGGACCCCGGGAGATCACCGGAGTTTGTCAGAACTGGACAGTCACCACTCAGCAAGGTCCAGCATTTGACTGCTTATACCCTCATTAGTCCCAACAAACACCACAGAACGTCTGCATTCTCAGCCATCGACAGGGAATGGATATGAAGAACAACTAAGTGGCAACTCCATGGACACAGCTAGGGTCCCAACTCCCCGTTGACCCTCCCTGCACAGGCCCTGGAGGCCTGTGCCTGCTCCGTCACCTGCTGCCCCGCCGCTGAGGTGGCACACTCGTGGTCCACAGCCACCGAGCCCTCTCCATCTCCTCACATTTGGCATGCAGGGCGGCGAAGGCTGCGTCAGACAGGTCCTCTATCTGCAAAAGAGCATCTTCATCGATCCCCCCTTTCCTCCAAGAGGTCAAGTTTCAGTGCGTAGACCCACTCTAGAAGCAGCCCCACCCCACACTAGGCTCTTCCTGGTCAGGACAGGAATACAATGAGCTTGCACTTGACACCCACAGGTCCTGAGGCGTCTGCAGTGTGTGCACCCACGAGTGCATGTGCTCTTCTAAGAGCGAACGCCCATGCCATTACCTCCTCATTCTCCTCGTCAGGACTCCCCTTCAGAGACCGAAGATCAACCTCCCGCCAGCTGCAAAACCAGGAAGGAACAATTGTGAGGCGGCAGGCAGTCTGGGCAGGATAAGTACATCCGTGCAGGAACGAGAGCTCTCCACCTGCAAGTGACACT